ATACATTGGTATTATTATTATTATTATTATTATTAGCTTTATTACAAAAACAATAACAATAACAATGTAATTAATAATAACTACTACTACTACTACAAATAATAATAATAATAATGTTTCAGTGTTCCAATATTTTACCACCAATTAAAGTCTAAATCGCTCTGTTGCGTCACACTGTTAATTAAAACTACTTATATCATCATCAACATTTTCTGGAGACCTTCACTTTATTCCTCCTGTTGAAACGAGGATCTTACGGTCGTCCAACAATATCCTAACCTATGGCTAACCTAACACTAACACTACCCAAACCTAAGCCATCCCAACCTAAAGCTACCCTAACCTAACCTTAACACTAACCTAACCCACTCTAACCTAACGCTAACCTAGCCTAATACTAACCTAACACTAACCTAACCTAACACTAAATTAACCCCCACCAGGTAGCGTAAAAATGTTTCTCCATGATAAAATAACTTTTAAGGGGTGTCTAATCTTCAGGTGATCTCAATGGTCTTGTTATATGACCAAGAAACCTGTTATACGCTGAAACCGGTTATGATGTACCAAAGACGCATTAGAAAAGGGAACACTGGAAAGTACCAAGTATATCGAGTGCGGGCCAGCATACCTGTCAGAATATACCCGGGGAAATCCACGCCTAAGGCGAGCGAAATACTATCCAGCCTTGAACAGGTGGTGGGAGGAAGATTACGACAACCATAAGTAATATTGTGCCTCAAGGTTAATGGTCAAGCCAGCAATATTTCGTAAAGTTTTTAATACTTGCGATGCTCTTTTGCCATACACCCTTTAGGCGTTTATTGTAAAGGCGTTTTAGATGCACGGAATAGCTAACGCGTTTGCTATTCTGTCTGAGCAGACACTTCTGCTGAGTTGTGAGCATGACACCTTAAGAAGGAAAACAAAACACCTTCATCGGGCGTTAGCGTGTGAGGCGCCCGAATAGCTAACAACCAATCAGAGAGTTTCTCCCACTGAAACAGTGTGTAAATACGTGGATCATGGCCGCTTATGGGGAATATTTTGATTAATATTGAAGAGTTGGGGGCATGTAAGGCAATAAAAAACTGTGATATAATAATAAAGATAATTCTATATACGGTAGTATATTGGATAGGACCTAAAACAAAGAGTATGGTGTGAAAGAATGGAAAAGGATTGTGCCTAATTGAAACCTGTTTTGGCTCCGCCCGTTTTTAAGTGGGCGCTGTCGGATTTCATTAGCCGTTGGTTGACTTTGGTGTAACAATATTGATAATTACTCAAATGTGACTGAAACCTTCATATCATTACTCAGAAGATACTTTAAATAAAGGTGAACAAGTTGATTACAGTTCTGTAAGTGCAAATATTAATACTTAAAAGAACCTGAAATTCGTCGTATTTCGTGCATAAATATGCAAACACCTAGCCGCGAGAGACAGGTGGTCTTTGGATAGTGCGGTTTCAGAGTCCGAGAGAAATTACCTTTACAACGGGCCCAATTTTTTTGTATTCTTATTTATTATTGACTGATTGACTTTTTTTTTCTTTCTTTCCATAATTTTCTATATATTTTCTTCGCTATTTCTTTCCGTATTGTGTCCAAATAACAGTTTCCTAATTTTATTGTTTTTCTGAAGACTGTGTTGTATATCAGTATTCCCAAGACTAGGGTTGCCATACGTCCGTATTTTCCCGGACATGTCCTCCATTTAGGTCTCGAAATCTTCATCGGGAAGGAATTTTTAAAATTCTTTAAAAGTCCGGAATTTTAGCTTCCATTATTTTCTCCACGGAAAAAAAAAACCATGAAACTGTAATGACGAGAGAGAGAGACAGAGAGAGGGAAGGTGGAACCGTAGAGATCTCGTTCAGTTTTCGTCAGCTGATAAGTCACTTGTACGCCTGTACGGTGTTGTCAACTTAGCTGTCAAATATTTGATTGATAAGGGGGTAGAAGTTGATGAAGTGTTTTGACCAAGTTAGTAACCTGAAGCAGTTTGTGGAAAATTACAAGTGATGAAGAATTTAGTAATCTGCCAACACAAAAAGTGGACCAGATACTTTGAAAAATCAAACATTGAATGTCACTCAGAATTGCTAAGAATTGCACAATTCTTCTTTGCTATATCATCTCGCAATGCAAATGTAGAAAGTTTTTTCACTGATGCAAAGCCAATGGACAAAGGAAAGGAACAAATTGAGTGTTAAACAATGAAAGGCATTCTGACTGCACAGTACAACTTCCGAGAAACATCTTGCAGTGACTTCTATACCTTTCTAAAGAGTAATCAGCCAATACTGAAAAAGATCCGATCTACAGAAAAGTATGCATGGGCACACCAAGTCACACACACAGTGGGGGGAGAAGACTGCAGCTAAAGGAATGAAGATGTTCAGCCTTAAGCAAAGGTAATTTTTTTAAAAGATTTCTATACCATGTATGATGTATATTAGCCTGTGTGTGCCGGGATGTCTTCGGGAGCGTCCTCTTTTTTTAATGTTCAGATATGGCAACCCTACCCAAGACGTATTTTTCGTATGTCGTATTTTTTAATGACAGTCCGGGAAGCTAGCGCGTTACGTATTCCGGGCATCTACAATAAACGTCTTTTGGCTGATACTTCTACAATACTACCGCACACTCTGTCCAACACTACCCAATACCACCAAATACCTGTACTTCCACACACACACACCCGATATTACCAACTACTACCACATACTACCCGATACGATAGATGTACTGTATATTTATAACCAAAATTCCCTAAACAAACACCAATATGTGTTTTCAACTTGTGGATCATAATCTAACAATGGCTTTTACCTGATGTTCACTTCCGCTATAAACATCATGACAAACACAACACGAACAAAATGTTCTCTAATCCAATACAACTCAAGGTTAATAATTGTTAAAATACTCAAATAAAATACAACTTTGGTTAATAAAGGTTAAAAATTACCACAGGGTTAATTAAATGAATCTCATGTAGAAGATGACTAATATTGCAAGGTGTTCAAGAAATATTTGACACAGTTCTGTTACTTGTGTTTCCTCATTACAGCTCCGTCACCCGCCACCTCACTGCGTTCAAGGTTCATTATTTTCAAAGGTTAACACGAAGAAATTATTCTTCCTGTGTAAAAACTAAAGAGAATATCTGATTGAATGATTTAAGTTCAAGGAAAAATATGGATCACATGAAGATTAAACACCCTAGTTTATTTTTGCTGATGATTGAATAACTTAAATATGAGCTGGGCGGGGGATCAGGTTAGGTTTTGTTATGCTAATTAAGGTTAAGTTAGGTTAGGTAAGGTTAAGTTAGGTTAGGTTAGGTAAGGTTACGTTGGGTTATGTAAGGTTAAGTTAGGTTAGGTTAGGTAAGGTTAAATTAGATTAGGTAAGATTAAGTTAGGTTAGATTAGGTTTGATTAGGTAAACGTTGGGTTATGTAAGGTTAAGTTAGGTTAGGTTAGGTAAGGTTAAATTAGATTAGGTAAGATTAAGTTAGGTTAGATTAGGTTTGATTAGGTAAACGCTAGGTTGTCTAATCTCCAGGTGAACCAAACGGAAAACCACCACAATAAGTATACAAATATGTTATTATAACTACATACAATTTCTTCAACCAAACAGTAAAAGACACAGTTTATATACCTTATCATATGCATCACAGTGTCTACCTGCCCCTGGCCATCCCACCTTCACTTTTACCCATTCCCATCTCCCATCATCCCCTCATGCCTAATTATACCTGTAAATCTTTTCACTTCTCATATATCTCTCTTTTGTTCCTACCAACTTAATTACTTCTCCCTTTGTTTTTGTTTTTTTCTTTTTATCCATATAATTTATCTTTGGCATTCACCCGTAGCAACACATTTCGAACGCGTATGCTAATTTTGTCTCTTAGTGTAAAGCAAATGAGTCTAGTTTTAGTGTATATTGATGTCTTTTTTGTGTGTGGTTTAAAGTCAAGTAAACAAGTTTGGTGAATCTATACAGGTTTACGTACCAGGAAAAATCAGTGTGAACTTTTTGAGAAGCCCGACTCATGTACAGGAAGATCCCTGGGGGATTGGTAAACATATTCTGAACATTTAAGGTGAATACAATAATTGATGTTCCTCGATACTAAGGAAGTAACTAACTAACGAGACTAATTCGTTACTATTGTTCTGGGGCATATGAAGGTTAACCACCCTAATGCTGATCTAACCTAACCTAACCTAATCCTAACCTTACCTAACCTAACCTAACCTAACCTCAACCTTACCTAAGGCTAACGCCATCCTAACGCTAACCTACATCTACCCTAACACTAACCTGACCTACTCTCCCTAGGTAGCGTTAGAGTGGTTAATCTTCAGGTGAAATAAACTGAGGACTAGCCTTCAGGTAATCCACTGTTAACTGATACATCATCCTTAAGTGCTCACCCTCAGAAATTTAAGTGTGTGTACAGTATTATTATGACGCTCAGGGTGTGGTTGTTGTGTCGGCAACCATCATGACGAGAGGAACACGTGATATAACCCATTTCTGTTGGGGGATGGAGTCAGGGGAAGCCTTAAATATTCTACAGCACCTAGCGACTCAACCTTCGCGTCATCCCATCGCTCCGCAATCGAGAAGTTTAACCTCTGTCATCATTCGTAGATTAGTTTTTAGTTAGATTATATATTTATTCAGTAAAATCCTCATTACAAGTTTTCAATGATTCAGCATGTGGTGTACTGTATAGTATATAGATAATGCAGATATATAGTTCAAAGCATGCATATAGGCAAAGCAGGTATACAATGTACTACCAAGACAGTGCAGGTATACAATGTACTACCAAGACTGTGCAGGTATACAGACAATGTAAAGTTACAGTACCTAGACCGTGTAAGTAAATTATCACGAGCTGTGGCAACTTGTAAATCCCCACCAGTTACCCTCCCTACCCTACCTCCTCCTCAAGGTGACTCGCCCATTTTCTCCCCACGGTGTCTTCTGGTATATATAGCGAGACGAACCATTCCTACATCACATCAACTTTTGTCTTTATCCTAAGCTGACTAACTCCTCCTGTCAACATGAAACTGGTAAGTTTCTCCATAAGATTCAGTTATTTTCTGACTGTTACCAAGGCTTCAGCTATCATTGTCTGTTTTATTAAAAGGCATATATATATATATATATATATATATATATATATATATATATATATATATATATATATATATATATATATATATATATATATATATATATATATATATATATATATGTGTGTGTGTGTGTGTGTGTGTGTGTGTGTGTGTAATGGCCAGTATGCTCGTCTCGCAAGCGACCGGACCGGGGTTCGATCCCCGGGCAGGGTAAAAATATGGGCAAGTTTCTTTACGCCATTTCCCCTGTCTACCCAGCAGTAATTGGGGACCTGGGTGTTAGTCGATTTGCGGATTGCAAATCGATTAACATCCAGGTCCCCCGAGGTAATAGTTAGCCGGTGCAGTTGACGAGTTGTCCGATCATGTAGGACTATTACTTGACACTGGGTCATGCAACTCGTTACTTAGGGTACGGTTGTTGTGTTGGCGACAACTTCTACACCTTAAACAAATTCACGCCAAAGCAGCCCTAGAGCAAGCCACCCTCATTATACGAGGGGCAACCATTATTATTATTATTAATATTATTATTATTACTATATGTATATACCCGGCTCTACATAGGCTGTGATATACCTGGCTCTATACAGGCTGTTACATAAACGGCTCTTTACACCAACTGAGACATACCTGGCTCTACACACTGACATTCACACATATATAAACCAATAAATTTCAGGGTGTTAAAATTTTGCGTTTTCTTCTTTACAGTGGTTAGTGGCGGCGGCCCTGTGTGCCCTCCTAGTATTGGCCATCGCCTTCCCTGACCCCGCGGCTCTGCCTGACCCCCTGGCGGCCGCAGATCGTGGGCGAGGGCGAGGACGAGGACGAGGACGAGGACGAGGACGTGGACGTGGAGGCGGTTTTGGTCATGGAGGCGGTTTTGGTCATGGAAGCGGTTTTGGTCATGGAAGCGGTTTTGGTCATGGAAGCGGTTTTGGTCATGGAAGCGGTTTTGGTCATGGAAGCGGTTTTGGTCATGGAAGCGGTTTTGGCTTTGGCGGACATGATCATCATCATCAACCACACGCTCACATCACCCTTGGTTCCCATGGCCTTAATGTACAGGTACACGCCCACCATTAACTCACGCCAAGACGACACCACACACAAGACTCCAGCTACGACTCTCCACACAGCTGAGGACATCGGTGTATTCACTTCCTGCTCTTGTCAACTAACTCAGCCTAGTGTACCACGGTGATTTTGTACTCTTTGTAATAAAATTGAAAGAAAAACATTTGAGATTTCATAATGCTATGATACTTCCATACCCAATCCTTATTAAAAATATAAATTGACACAAATATTAGGCCAATAATAGTGAGAAACATCGACGTGTTCAGGTTTAAGAAAGAGCAATTGGAAAACTTGCCATCCACTTCCCTGTCTTAGTCAAGCCTGAATAATTTAACCTAACCTAACCTAACCTAACCTATCCTATCCTATCCTAATCTTCTCCTAACCTAACATATCCCTAACCTAACCTGGTTCTCACCTAGTCATAATCTAACCTAACACTATCATAATCTGACCTAATCTTAACTAAAACTACAGTAACCTAAATAACGTAACCTACCTATACAATATTTTTTGTTTTCACTGGAGTAAGAAGTGGAGAATAAGGCATCAGTATTGTAGCTGGACATTGAGTGTTATTATTAACTATGGGGGGGACGTCGCAAAAAAAAAACCTGCTGAATCATTTAACTATTGCGTCACCTTCTGCAGCTTGACGTCCTCAGGCGGGGCAAGCTCTCTTAACCAACCACCGACACCCACTAAAGGATCTACGTCTTCGCCTACCACTAAACCCTGACCACTTCCGCCATAGCCTCGCGTGTTCTCAATCTTGCTCGCCACTTGTAGACGTCTTATCGATCAACGAAATTTTAGTGGTAGTCGTTTTAGTTACTAAAACGACTACCACCATCTCACATATAGTCGTATGTTAATATTTAAACAACTTCAACTACCACCACCTCTTATATGGTGTTATGTTAATATTTAAACAACTACAATATCTACCACCATTGCTCATATACTGTAATCTTTAACGTTTAAACAACTAAAACTACCACCACTTCTCATATGGTCTTTATGTTAATATTCAAACAACTACAACCATTATTACCAACTTACAACCGTACAATATATTACTTCTACTTACGTTTAACCTATTACAACAACATCAACCACAACAATTACTATTCCTGGCTTTCCCGTGTATGAAGACCAATTAGTATTTCGGTAGCATGACGGTGTACTGGTAGACTAGTAATAAGGATCAATAGGTGTAGTCAAGAGGTAGTTTATCGACCCTTAAGGATTCGTACGATTAATGTTCCTCGCTGTCAGAGAAGCAAGAATCCACTAATGGTTGACTTGAAGCCTAAACACAAACATTACCACCAAAATAACAGAATTCTACCGATAAATTAAGTGTGATTTTGATGGTATATTTTTGTTATAGCTAAAGTTTAACATATAGCTGCATTCTTACATATTTTAATTACGGGAAATAGTCATCGTGTGCACCTTTGTGAACCTGGAATCAGCTTAAGAGGGTAAAATTACAACGACGTATCTATAGGAAAAGTTGACATCCTGCGCTCACTCACACACACACACGAGATAGCTGATAAAAATGCGACAGAGGGGAACCGATGAACCGATATTTTAATCACCGCCAGTCCAGCTAATCATTTCAGCGCCATAAAACCAGGTGTTAAAATCTCACATGCAGAGCTGTGATTGCATGTAGGGAGGGGAGAGAGAGAGGAGGGAGGGGGCGCGGACCACACAACATGAATTAAGAACTGGATAGGGAAGACCCAGGCTGTAGTGCACTTGTTGAAAATAAAACCAGCATCTTTATAACATGAAACACATACGTATATATATATGGAACATGGTTTAGATGTCGCTTACCAAGGCAACAAGCAGGCGGAGATCTGTTGTTATCAAGGTACACTGTTCTCTTGTAGGTTATTATATATTTCGTCACCAAATTCACCACGAAGGTTCATCATACCGTATTCACAACCTGTACGTTCTTCGACAATAACGCTGTGTTAGGACCCAAATTCGCCGCAAACAGAGAGAAGCTCGGGAAGCAGCCATCCCCCTGGACTCCCCGCCCACCTGGTACGATGTCCTCCGTAAACTTCCTGACCTCTCGTACGTCTATGGGAAAGGGTCGCGGGAAGGGGACGTGATTGCTGCCCGTATCATCATTGGGTATGACTTTGCTTGGGAGATTGGTATCCCCGCATCCTCTGAGCAACGCTCTTGTGCATTATGCAGAAGACCCGACAGCCGCACCCTTATCCACTACCTCCTAAGATGTCCCCACACACAACGCTTCCGTGACGACTGCTGGACCACCACTCCACGACCCCCTGACGGAGACACGATGATCCTCCCCATACTGACCAGATATTATGTAAATAACATTGATTATGTGTTAAAGGAATATCCTTCCTTCCTTAGGCTTTAGTAAGCCCCTTTATAATATTTATACTGTATATACTTGTCACACTTGCCAGATGCTTCTGGTGTCATTGTACAGGGGTACCTAGTGACAGCACTAGGATCCCGCTTCCTCTATCAAGGAATAAACAATTGAAATTGAAATTGAATAACGCTGTCACTTCACTTCATGGGAAAAGTGGCCATAAAATTAAATATCTCAAAATATCACACTCCCATTCCGACCAAAATAAACTTTAAGAATAATCTTGACACTCGTCTTATTAAGGGAAGAATATTGAGTTCGATAATTGTAACAGTTATAAATTCGTATTCTCAACTGTCGACTCGAGCGCCTACAACTGAAACTCGACTACCTGACAATTTATTTTGAATGTCTAAAAATACGTCAATAACAATAATAATAATAATGTAATTATTATTGATGTTCCTTTTTAAGTCGTAGAAAATATAAATATTGAAATATAGTGCTATTTAAGAATAAATAATATAATGCACTATATCCATACAACATAATACAATACCAATTTAATATCAAACACAATCATGAAAATATTGGTGGTGAGACAAACAATATTTGTATATGGAAAATTTATCAATAGCCTTTAACACTCGATACAGCCATACAAGATCCAGAGACATTTTAAGTACGCCACAGAATTTGGGTACAGCAACACGAACGTTCAATATACAGGGTGATTCAGCAAAGAGTATATTAAATTGGAGTATGAAATCCTTGGATAATTCTAAACCACAAAGTCTCTCTGGTAAAATGTAAGATTCTACATATGCCCACATGTTAGTGACAGGTGTAACCAAATTAAACATAGTCCAGGCATTCTGGAACGCGTCAGACAATCAATGGTACGACATGTACAGGCCTGATTACAAAAACCAATGGGGGTTTCACTTCAATTTCACTCTCATTAATACAACATCATAAATGTATTGTAACATGGAAACAATGCAGAATCTGACATTTAACGAAAGAGACTTTGTGGTTTAGAATTATCCAAGGATTTCATCCTCCAATTTAATGTACTCTTTGCTGAATCACCCTGTATATATGGCTTAGTTGTTGTAGTGGTGGTAGTTGTTGTAGTGGTGGTAGTTGTTGTAAGGGTGGTAGTTGTTGTAGTGGTGGTAGTTGTTGTAGTGGTGGTAGTTGTTGTAGTGGTGGTAGTTGTTGTAGTGGTGGTAGTTGTTGTAGGGGTGGTAGTTGTAGTAGTGGTGGTAGTTGGAGAATCGGTGGTTGAATCTATCTTTTGTAGGTGGTGAGAGGGGCTGGACAGATCATGCTGGGTCAGCTTAGTAGTGGCGGTATAATAATGAAGTTGGTGTGGACGATGCTGCCGGGTTAACCAAAATGTCCATGACTGCTATGCCCACCAGAGTGCCCACCGAAGTTTCCAAAGTTAGAATGGCCACCATGGCTACTAGGTCTACCATGGCTACTAGGTCTACCATGGCTACCGAAGAGACCATGGCTACTAGGTCTACCATGGCTACTAGGTCTACCATGGCTACTAGGTCTACCATGGCTACCGAAGAGACCATGGCTACTAGGTCTACCATGGCTACTAGGTCTACCATGGCTACCGAAGAGACCATGGCTACTAGGTCTACCATGGCTACTAGGTCTACCATGGCTACTAGGTCTACCACGGCTACCGAAGAGACCATGGCTACCAGTAAGAAAACTGATGAGATTTCCACCTCCAAAGTATCCTCCACCGCCGCGATGTCCAGAAAAACCACGATTCCCTCCACCACCACGATGTCCTGAAAAACCACGATGCCTTCCACCACCACGATGTCCTGAAAAGCCGACCGTAAATCCTCCGAAACGGCTGCCTCGACCCCTTCCTCGACTTCGATGTGGGTCAGGGTCGGGAAGAGCGACAGGATCAGCCTTGGGCAATGGATCAGGGCTGGCCAGAGGGTTAGGGTTGGGCGAAGGATCCGGAGCAGCGAGTATCGACCCAGTCAGGGCACACAAGGCCAGCATCACCAGAATCTAAAAATATAAACAATAACACCGGTGCTAAAACAATGAAAAATAACCCAAGAAAAGTGAAACCTTAATGTACGTAATAGTTCCAGAGGGAAACTAGCTTAAGAATTACCCTAACATTACAAACTAACATCATCACCACGAGTCGAGTTGTCTCTTGGATATTTTGACTGAGGATTTTATGTTCCAGATTTTTTGGATAACTAGCAGGTTAATATTGTGTTAAATTGGGTGAAGTTATATTGACTTAAATCTGAGAAAGGTTCAAGTGAAGTTACGTAAGATTATACTACGAAGCGTTCATATAAATTATAATAGAATATGACGGGTGGGGCCAAAATGTCTTAATATTTATTTATGAGTTAAACTTCACAAACCACACAGTATAATCATGGTTAGGTTAGGTTTAGTGAGTTTGTGGGGCAATTTCTAAATGGTTTTCAAAATTGTGTTATTCTTACTGAAAATTACATCAAAATATTTATATAAAAAATTGCGGAGTTATGCTTAACATTTACCTATAGAGCAAATTAATAATGATACGATATTCTCTATGTTGATTTTAATTTTACGTTCTTTTAGTCTGGGAATTACCGTCTAGCATTCTCCTAGTTATATTTGGCTGTGAACCATAACTGTGGGTTATACTCGTCTCACAAAACTATGAACCACCAGTGTTAACATAGTCGAGCCTCATAAAGAACCATGAACCGCCATTTGTAATATCTTAAGTATAGGGCACGTGAACTAACACACAAGGACTTTTCAAGATAAGTATAGCATTAATTACCAAGCAAGGGCGTGAACACTAATGTGGCCAGAATGGAATGACTATTAATGTTTTGGTTTTGTTTTTCTTCATATAAAGGCTAGTGACCGAGAATTGCATTTTTTTTTTCGCTGAGAAATATCACCCTAAAAATCATTCAGACTAACAAAAAATTTATCAACTCAGTAAAAAATCAATCCAATTTTATTTCTTAATTTAGTAATACTGTATATTATCACTGGTTAAATCCACGAAATAAAATCAAGTAAGCTGAATTGGATTCTAAAATTTGCTAGATTAAAGGACTTAATTGTTTAGTTAGCTACAGTGTATTAAATTACTTACCTTCATGATGTGTGGTGAGATGGTTCTTATCCCAGGTTAAAGGCCGTGTCCTCTCTAGATTTTGCAGCAAGGAATCAAGGTATTTATCCCTGTGGCGAGGTACGCGTGGAGAGGGAGGAGCTAGCGAGTTGCCAGTGAGAAGTAATTTCATCAGTCGGTAACAATGCCCAAAACAAGACTTTTGAAATGCATTTTACGCACCAAAATTAAGTAATGGTAATACAGAATGTGTACTAGAACGACCATTGTTGAGTTGGTAATTGCTTCAAGATATTTGGAATAGTTAATAATAGTAGAATCTGTATCTACAGATTAATGTCACTCACATAAATGCATGATACGTTTAGGGCAGCCCTTAAATCAGGGCCCCGAATCTTACATTATTTACAATCATTATTATCATAAAAATAGCAGAATAATTACCACTAAGGATACAAAGTTACTACAGGTCAATAGCACTGGGCAAGACGCCAGGGTACTATTGCCACTTCAGCCATAATTGCATCCTTCTTCACCATCACTTCCTTGTGTTGTTGTTGTTACTTGAATGTGTCTTCTTAGTGCCTGGGGTCGGTGACCGCGTATCATTGCTCCAGCCATGATTATTTTTATCTTCCACTGACAACTGTAGTGTTATTAATAATGTTACAAAGTTATTACTAATAGTTCATAACAGCAGTCTCCGCAGTCTCCCCTTCTCTTCCCAAAATTGCTGCACATACTTCAGGTAACTATGACTTCCACCTTGAAACTTCCTGAAGCAGTTACTAAGATTCGGCTCTTTGCTACCATCACCGTAACGATATCGCGATACCCCATACATCCCATGAGACTTCGTGATAAGGAACCATATTTGACAACAATAACAGTAACATACATAGCATCGGCAACACTCAATGTACCGATGCAGTGTGTGTGATCGCAGGAGGGTCGACCAGTAGCAGCAGACAGTGTGAGTGCGTGAGAATCTGGGGAACGCCCAGTAAGTGGTTAGTATGTACCTCAGGTTTCTTCGCGGCCGCTTCTTGTATATGAATATACTCATTCTCTTTTTATAAAGACCAACTCTGTGTAATAATAATGTACATCCATTTGTCATCAAAGTAAAGCGTACTTGACCACACTCGCCGTCTATAGGTCTTCGGGAACATTAATGTACGGTACAAGACGGGCCACCCTCGACGGCCATCTTATTTAGTATCTGTTACAGTAACTTGATGCACCTGAGTACGAAAGCGCAGACAACCGACCTTGGTAGTGTCAACATTTTTGTTTTATAATTAAGCGAATTCTAAACCCTAATGCAGCAGTTTGTTACGCTTGGAATACATCGAAGTGGTTAACGATAATAGCTGTGTCTGCCTTCGGTTATAATAATTGGGGTTTAACAAGAAATTGAAAAAATAATAATTACAGCATTTAGGAGTGTGACGTGTTGTCAATAAACTTTAATGATACCTCTATTATTTTTATTATTATTACTATTATTATTATTATTATTATTATTATTATTATTATTATTATTATTATTATTATTATTATTATTATTATCATTATTATTATTATTATTATTATTCACGAATATCAAACATACATTTACTGTCAGTCAGTCTAGCAACACAGAATACACACTAATATCATATTAATACAAAAATGCATAGAACCTAATAGAACCTGACCTAACATTTACCCCATAGAACCTAACCTTTTATACCCAGGGTTTGTTGGGTGAGGTTCTATTAGGTTCTATTCAAAAAAATTTAATGCATTATTTTAATATAATGCTAATAATATATTAAACACAGAAATAGAAATCTTAAACAACTTATCTTAATAATTGAAACGACACCGATTAATTGTACGGCGTCTGTTGACATAATCGTAGGATCGCGTATTACATTAAAAGTTGTTGTTTTTCGTAATATGCAAGTCTCTTCCGCATTTTGAACATTTGCAAGTGTTCTTAATTAACCAATGGTCACAAATGAAAGATATCAAGCGAGATTCATCAAGAACTAGGTTTGATAAATCACGATATGAAAAATCACAACAACGCATCTCGCCAGTAGTTCAAAAGACGCAGTTTCACGTGATGTCCCCCCCACCTCCCTACCTGGGGATACGCATAAATGTGAGGAGGAAGTTAATAGAGAATTGTGACGACTGTTAACGGTATTTAAAACAATTAAAAGAGAATGTAATCAGTCGACAAGATCCTGTAAAAGTCAAAATATGACACACTTACATCAATTATTGATTCTATATAGATGATACGAAAAGAAGACTGAATACATTAAATAACTAAACGAAAGAACAATAGACCGTTATTAACGTAATGTAAATTTATTAAAGATGCGTTATTATTTTATTTAAAGGATCATGATTAATGGTTCAGAATTTATACAGGTGGTCAACAACGAACAATGGTGGAAACAAGAAAATGTGCTATCAGACTCTTGAAAGGTAAGAAAATGATTTGGGGCGTCACAAATGCACCTAGAGCAATTTTAATGCCATAACATCAGTGTTCGCCGTGTTTTTACTCCGTAATTTCCCCCATCTCCATGCCCTGCCTACCTACAAGGAATTTATGATCGTAGGATAGAGTAAATGAAAAAAAAAATTCTGAGAAGTACTTAAAATCATAATACAGTAGAAAGCTGTCGTTTGTTTCAATATATATAAATCATCAAAACACTTGTATAGGAAACATTAAGAAAACCAACAAACTCCTTTTGGTGGTAGCCATTGTCTCCACCTCTACCCCCATCAACTACTCAGTATTCTTAACATTATATAATATGATATAAAAATCCAGTGTTCGAAATGCGAGGGAGGTTGGGGGGAGGGTGGGGTTGGCCCCCCAAATACACTGTAGTGGACGTCTCCCCTACAAACTGCGTAGCTGCACACCACCTGCTACCGTCTTCCCTAGCAACCAAGCGTATCAGCATTCCAATGCCCGCCGTATCCTAGCAACCGAGCCAAAAGGCCGGCGACTTCTCAGGTTTTCCCAACATGACTCATAGCGGCTGCTGGGTATATAAGCTCTGTCTCTCCATTGAGATTCATTCTGACCATTCTTCTTGAACAAGCAACATCTCCTCCTCAGCCGCTGCCTGGCAGCCCTCGCATCTCCTCGCCTGCCTGGCGGTCCTCGCTCCGGCCAGCGAGCATGGCGACCCACCAGCTGTCCTCTGAGCTTCCTCACCAACCAGCTTTCTCATTCTGCCCATTTTCCTGAACAAGCAACATCTCCTCCAGCAAGCTCCACGCTGTTAACGTTTCATTCAACCAGGAGGCCAGCAACAGGCAACACCTTCTCTAACGAAGCTCCTGCACATCTACCTCCTTCAACACGCTACTCACCGAACGTCTTCTACTGAGCAGCTCCTCACCACAAGGCATCTCCAGCACCAGACTGTCTATCATATAACTTATATATTATACAAGAAAACCACATTAGAGTTTCCTTCCATCCTGAGTGCTAGACAACATTAATATATCGATACCCCTACAACACTTTTGACCCATGGAAATAGAATATTCAGGAGGAACCACGTGGATCCCCCTCAAATAAGATGTGTTTATTATTATTACGAAGGAAATATATATTTTAAATATGTGATCATTCAGAAAGTGAATAAAAACGTAACCTTTATTATTTTTGTCATGGCGATGAAAAATGTTAAATTTGCATGAACATTCTGGTATGAAGTCTGCAATCTGCATCACTATGCTTTTTGGTACACGTTCGGCATGGGCACTCTTGGTCGAGTTCTGATGCTTGGTGAGGGGCCGGGGCGGCTGGCAGCACAGCTCAACCGCCCCCATCCCGAGTTACACCTGCAGCCGCTCCGGAGTCAGCTGCAACCTCCCTATGTAACTTCTAATATCCACTGCATATGGCCTCAAAATGGTCAGATTTAAAACAAAAAATCTCACAGCACCAGCTGTAAAGGCTTGCTCCCCCTCTGGGTGGAGTGCAGTCACTGTTGAGGATGATGACCCCCAATATACACTGCCCTATTTCGAACACTGTATATTACTATTAATAAAGTTCTTACCTATGCCTCAGGCGGATATTTCCTGGGCTTTCACGTCGTCGTACACTAGCTCCGTCCTCCACCTTGGTTCCCCTTTAAGTGTTGCTCCTGGCTACTGGTGACGGACTTCCAGAATCACCAGTTTAGTGGCACTGTTGACTCATAGATGGCGCTCACCTTTTTACTTTTTTACGTCTAAAATATAAAACGCCTTTTTAATAATTATCTATTACCATCTAAATAAAATTATATTAACATCTAATAGTCTGTGTAAATAAAATGAGTTTTTGGTGCCAAATAACTGAAAAACTTAAGGATTTACAATTTTAACAAGAACTACTTCGTTCTTTGGGCACGAAAGAAAATTACATATCTAGGGATAACTAAAGCATAACTGCAAACTATGAAGCATTGTAACTATTCAATGCTGTACGTTAGTAAAGCCTGTATGTTGGTGGCACTTATATAGTGCCTGCAGTACTTAAATACTGCCTGGATTACTTAAAGGGTGTGAAACTTATTTAGATTCTGTGTGAGAAATTGAAGTATTTTTTATTGTTCCTTTTCTGTTGCCGACACTCAGTCATGATGTCAAATAAAGCGTTTCATAATCTGTAGTTCCCCTGAGAGGATGAAGGCCGTCCCACTGCTGAGAGGTCAATGAATCCTATATTATATTTAGGAATGCATAAAAGGAACCCATGCGGACACTTGTTGAATACATTTATTATATTACGAAGCTTAAAGACTTTTGAACATTTGAATGATCTTTTGAGTGAATATTACCTACAGATTCAGATGTGTATTTGTGTGAAAATGATGATGAATAATTTGGTGATACTGATAAATGATATTGGCATATTGCTGACAACAGTATACAATACTAGAAAAAAAAAGTCCTCCCATTTTAATGATCCATTTTCTTTTATTGCAACACAGAAAATGGACGCAAAAAAACAGTTTAATGAATGAGTTTAAATGAGGGACTTAAATGGCTTTGAATGAGTTAAAAGGCCTTATCGTAGTACTAGAGACCAAACGATTATCTCTTTAATTTAATGGATAATAATAATAATAATAATAATAATAATAATAATAATAATAATAATAATAATAATGATAATAATAATAATAATAATAATAATGATAATAATAATAATATAAGTCATTTGCGAAGGAAATCTCACAAAAGAAAAGTGTACTGTACATTATACTGTTGTGTTATCACCAAATTATTTATCACCATTTTCATTAAAGTGATTTATGTTCGAAGATAGAGAAAGTTGAGTTTTTTAATACCTAAATTTAAAGGAAAGGGTTGTCGTATTGTTTGTATTACTTACTATCATCCGCTATTACCTGTTAAAATGCAGTACATAAAAATCTTGACTTTACCATTAACTTGCGTGGTGTGTAAAATAAACCAGGGTTATTAAATTGAAAAACTAAGAAGTTAAAGTACTTCTGCAAGTTATATATTTCCATTCGCTGGTAGACAAGAGAAGTTAAGCAGCAGAGATTCTTAGAACGGTGCTTAATAACCCTGGCTATTAATACTTCATCCTCTGGTAGCAAGGTTAGATTATGTAATTAATGAGATGGGTTGACAGATGGATATATATTAAGGAAAATCGTCTGACAAGTTCACATTCGTCATCAGATAATGAAATAATTAAAAAAAAGGATAACCAAATGAATCCGCTAAAGATTATTTCCATTGGAGATCCTATGCTACATTATGTTAGGTAAGGTAAGGTAAGGTAAGGTAAGGTTATGGTAGATTACGATGGATTAAGTTCGCGTTAGCTTAGGTTAGTGAAAGAAGAGATTAGGTTCGACTAGCTTTTGAAGAGTTTAGATTGGGTTAGCGCTAGGTTAATTGAGCTTCGGTTAGCTTTAGGTTAATTAAGACTAGCTTAGGTTAGCATTAGTTTGAGCTAAATTAGGTTAGCTTTAGTTAGTTTAAGTTCGCGTTAGACTTATTCTCTGTCGAGTTATGAGCTGCCTGGAATGTCAAGCACGCTGTGCACGACCTAATCACTCAGCCTGTGGCCAAGTAACATCTTCTCTGGCCTCTGACCTAACATACTTGACCAATTCAACCACAATCAATAAACTACATAATTATGATAACCCTCAAAGAAATTGCAAGGGCAGATCCTGGGGGGTCCTGGGGGGCTCCGGATCCCCCTTTTCATCAGAAATTCCAATACTTTGACTTTAATGCTGTTTTGTACTGGGGCATTTTTTCATAGTAAAAATTACTATTGACCTCAGAATATCTCCTAATATAAGTGCACATGGCTTCGAAATGGTCCCCAAAATGTCCATGATATTGATCAGATTTAAAAAAAAAATAAAATAAAAAAAAAAATGGGTGGAGGCTACTGAGAATAACGGGATATAATAATAATAAGTTGGAACAGATCTGGTATGTGAAGCCATGTGTTTAAAGGACTCACTGATGCTCCTCCCCCCTCGTGTGTGTTGCAGTTACTCACCCACACTGCCTCACCACTCGAACAGACGTCTCGCCTCCCATCCAAAACTGCCCCTCCTCCCACGCTGCCACCTGACCACCACCGTTGTTTGGTCATCAAACCGCTAGATGCCTAACCCAGACACAGCTGTTGTTGGCGAGGGATAATAGCTCACATCTGTGTATCTGTGTTTGATTCTCTAACCTTTGTCAACCTAAGCCCCTATATTAACCTACAGTAACTATTTTCAAAATAAACTATCGTAACTTAACCTAACTTGCCCCAGATGTACTAACCCGACCTATAACTTTCCTCTAACTTAACCTAACGTAACCTAACTTAACCTTACGTAACCTAACTTAACCTCACCTACTGTATACCCTAACCTAACCTTCCACTAAATTAGCATAACTTAAGCCAACCAAACCCCCGAGTTTTGATAAGAAAAAATCGTATGTTTCTTTATTCGTGATTCACTTGATCCCTTAAATCACCTTCAGGAACGAGAAGCCCTTGTGAACACTTTTATCTATGGTCGTGGTATCTGAAGAAATTTATCAATATAGAGTTATACAGCTTGGTGGACGCAGCAGATTGGAGACTTAACAGTGGTTAGCTCAATGAAATTTTAGATAGATAGATAGATAGATTAGCTAATAAGGTATTTGAATATTTGTATCAAATTGGGTATTTTTCTTGAGTAAATTATATTAGAAAATTTGTATATTTGGGGAAATACATTCCAACATATTAAAAGATGGTAAGATACTAATTAATGTGTATAGTATTTTTAAAATATCGGGTAATTTGTATAGTTTCTAGACAAGATACTTTTTTTTATAGTTCACTGTCTACTTGCCATTGCCTTCACACTTATCTGAAATTTCATTCGATTTGTGATGATATTAATAAAGTACTTGGTCAACCATGCATGTACGTTACTTGATGTTTATATAACCGCCGCCGCTACATACAGTAAGTTCATTGACACCAGTAATGTCCATCCACCCCTTTTTTCCGTTAATTACCCAAGAAACACCGTGATGTGGCAAAAAGCAGAACGGCCAGACACACACACCTCTGTTGTTCTAGGTAACGAAGATGAGACCCCCATGATATAGCTTTGAATAAACCCCAGAAACCGCTCACAATAGTCTGTTTGCCACCACATCATAATCTGACGAACCCCCGGAACATAACAGTCTGCTCTACAAGTACCGCTACTTCACAAGTGCCTCACAACGCCAACTAGCCTATTTTGTTTTTAATTCTCTCTAAGTTTATCATCATGTGCTTTATCATTCAGGCATAAATTATATATATACTAATACTTAAGCTCCTCTATTAGTTTCTTACATTTGAAAAACTGGAGTTAAAGCGGATTATTCGTTATTTATTAGGGAACAGGTGTTTGACCACAAGTTAGTGAGGGAGACCGAAGATACTTGTGGGTGGCGCAGAGTGAGGAGAGTCAGTCAGTATCTGTGTGTGGTTGTGGGTGTGTGTGGAGGCTCCTCATCAATACTAACATAAAGGTAAATTATCAAGTCCTAACAATCCCAGGTTTTTTATAATTACTTAAAATATACTGAAGAGGAACCACGATATATATTGAAGATTTTGTTTTATATCCTGTTACTTGTATCCTCCATCAATACATACTACTTAACAGAGGGTTCAGTAAGGTCATACTAATGTGAATATAATTAATGTTATTCTTGTAAACCTCCTGAAACATCCCTATTATCCGTAAGTCACATATTGATCGTATGTCTCAGAAAAGTATATACACACTGCCTTACATATTTTCATACTGTGTGAATGTTTGTATTACAACATTATCCTCGCTTGATGATGCACGAGATCTTCCACAAGTGAGGACAATGTTGCATTTGTAATACAAGCATTCACGCGATCTACACGAGCAACCTGCAAGGTAGTGTGTATCAATTTTTCTGAGACACCCTGGATAATCCTGTGTATTCACGTCATATCTTAAGTCTATTTTGTATTGTATGTTTACTGCACCTGACCCACCCAGTCTGCGATGAACCTTTAGGTGTGTCTGTGAGTTGCTGTGTAGCATCGTGTACTGTACAGCATAGTACTATAATAAGTGTAAATTCGTAGTGGTGAAGGAGAGAAGCGAGGAAGATAATGAAGGAAGAGCGGAAGGTGGTCATGAAGTGAAGGGGGTAGGGTGTAGAGGGGGGGATCACCACCTGGTGGAGGTTTAAGTCTAAGAGAAGGTGAATGACCCGGAGGTCCTCGACGCCTTCTCTCAGTACCGTACGATGTGTGGACTTCACCACACCTGACGTTATCCTATAATAACCTGTAATTATCTTACGCCAATCACTTATTGTCCTGTTATCATGAACAACCTGTTAATGAGGCTTAATGACCCGGAAGTTGAACCACCTAAGACCGAGGATGACATGATAATTATTAGCGACCTGGTGAGATTCTCTTATATCGTCCGCACGGGAGATACACACTCTCTCACTCTCTATTTGTCTGTCCATATCTGGCGTCGATGTTCCTCCCCTTCAATAGTAAGGTCAAGGTCGAATATGAACGTCTCTGACCAACGGAGTCCACCCGCGTGCCGTGGCCCAGTATATTGTACACTCGGTTACTCAAATACTACCACAGGCTACCAAATACTACCACAGACTACCAGATACTACCACAGACTACCAGATACTACCACAGACTACCAGATACTACTACAGGCTACCAGATACTACCACAGACTACCAGATACTACCACAGACTATCAGATACTACTACAGGCTACCAAATACTACCACAGACTACCAGATACTACCACAGACTACCAGATACTACCACAGACTACCAGATACTACTACAGGCTACCAGATACTACCACAGACTACCAGATACTACTACAGGCTACCAAATACTACCACAGACTACCAAATACTACCACAGACACCAGATACTACTACAGGCTACCAGATACTACCACAGACTACCAGATACTACTACAGGCTACCGGATACTACCACACACTACCAAATACTACCACAGACTACCAAATACTACTACAGGCTACCAGATACTACCACATACTATTAGACACTAACTCGCCCGTTGGTACGTAATCCAGTGTACGCAAATAACGCCTTCTAAAGGGATAACTCTATGTTTACAAAAATGTGGCTGGTAATAATACTATGGGAAAAACGTAGAAAATTAGGCTTACTCACTAAAACATGACGTTATCCAGTTGAATGATGGCGAAAGACCAACAGTAAGAGAGTGTGGACAAGCAAAGCAACACTGCAACACCTAGTGCAAAGTTGGAATAACTCTCCATATAGAAGGAGTTGGTTGTATGCAGCGCTGAGTGCACTGTACATTCTTGCGGTTAAGCACATGACCATAACCACCGTTTGCTTTACAATAACCTTACTGTAAATGTTAAAGCACAGCAATACAATACCTAATCCACACACACCACTTAGTCCAGGGAAAATTATGAGCAGTTAGAATATACAGTACCATAATACCGTAGAAATCGGACTTGTGTTTTAACTGTTTGCCTAGAATTGTTCCCAAAATTCTCTAAACTACAGTACACTGCCAACTACTGTACCAGAGATGCTAAAGGATATGTGATTTAAGAAAAGTTTTCGCTTGAGTAGGAGGAACATGTTGAATTTCTCACTCTATGTACTGTTACATAACCTAAATTCACTGCCAGAGCCGTCCTAAGAAGTGCAGGGCCCAGGGCATTTCATCCACTGAGGGGGGGCCTTTGCATTCTTAAAATAAATATATATATATATATATATATATATATATATATATATATATATATATATATATATATATATATATATATATATATATATATATATATATATTAAATGTATCTTGAATGTACACAAGACCATCACAAATATCATTATACCTGTATTAGGACATACAGTACAGTACATTTTGAGTGCCACTGTTAACCCGAGTATTACAGTTTCAGGTGTGTCCCAGACTACAATCATGGCATTGCCAGTCGTGAACGTGGCCCCAGAGGTTCCTATCATGCCTTCTGTCCCGCTGGTTGGGGATCCCAGAGATCAACACATTCTTAACAGGAAGCGCAGGATGAACTTCTTCGACATGGCTAACCTGCTCGACTCGGATGGCAACTTACAGAATGAGATGCTGGTGTTCGCCTTTGCAGCCACCATGTTGTCCACCATCCCTGTCCTGCTGGGTAATGAGTTTGATGTCAATGTTGGCCTGAGGAAGAGGAGGCAAGCAGAACCTTATCAGGACCCAGACGACCCAGACAATAACCCCTATGACTCTTACACTTCCTCACCCAATGAGTCCCACACTGAGCCATTCTTCTCGGGCTACACCTATATGAAGATCATGACCTCTCCACCAGGCACTAGCTACTTCCACATCCATAATAGTTCCACCACAGCTCCCGATGTCACCACAGGAGATGTGACACACTCGGGGCAGGAAAGTGTAGTTGTTGATGCCTCCATGGCTGACCTGCTGAGGGAGCTGCTCCAGTGGTCACAAGAGAAGGTGAAGGACAAGCTGCTCCTGCCTATGTTGATTAATCTCGCCTTAGATAAATATTCTGGAAATCCAAACCCTGCAGACAAGTTGGTCAGGGCAACCTACAAGAAGTGGAAGAACTACTGGTACTGAGACCTACAGGCGGTGAATTGTTCACCCAGTACTCGACCAGAAAATAACTTGTTGAAGAACAAATATTTCTTGACCTTTCTAATCAAAAGAGGTTGAACATATCTGCGAGGATGAGACCTACTGGAGTGTAAAAGCCAGAAATATTATACAGTATATGTAAAGGGGATGGAAGATGGGACAATATTTTACCTCCTTATAATCCTGGTGTGAACCTTTCTTATTGGTGCTTTACTTAGATAACATTGAAAACTGTCGTCATAACATGAGCTAACATGAGTGATCTGTTTTACTGACTGATGGGGCATGTTTATACCTGACTGCTGCTAAGAATACAGTAACTCAAAGACAAAGGCGACCTAGCATTGGTAATCAACCGGGGTGCAGTGAGAAGCCTGTAGCGTGGACGGGCTAGGGGCACAGGAGAAATTATCTCTTGGACAGGAAATCCGTGTACAGAGATGACTGATGCAGTTATCCAAATTGTGATATTAAATGAGTTGGGATTCCTTCTTACAATTATCATCATCATCACTGATCATCATTTTACATTACATTCTTTGTTGGCAACAAAGTGGAGCACTTACTGAACTTCTCAGGTAGATTTTCGGGCATTAAATAAATACTTACTTGTGCAACCTGTTGTTTCTATATCCACTGTGTTTGGCAAGTTGAGTCGAGTCGTAGAACAACTGGTAACTCAATTAATTTTTCGAAATAACAATACATCAATACCACAAATTTTTCTATATACAGTATTGTAATCCTCAAATTTTCCTCAACCTTTTCAATCATATATTAAACCCTTATACAGTAAGTCCTCAATACAGTATATGTGAGGGTTGTGTTCCTGAAAATCCTCACACAAACCGAAACTGCATGTATCGAATACAGTACAGTACTTAGTTCAATGGGAAACATTAGAATGTTTTCCATAACTCAAATTGAAAGTGATCCAGACCCATTTACAACAAAATTTCAAGACAAATGAACCATAAAACAAATCGATACAATATTATTTATAAAATAATATATAAAGCAAGGGTACAGTACAGTGTACTAACCAATAAAAGCAGATACATCAGCTTGGGTAGACGAGAAGATGGAGGAGGTGGTAGAGGTTTTACATAGTTGGTGACAGTGTTGGAATGAAATCTGCAGGGTCATCAGGGCTGAATTGCATATCAGGGAGCGTGACATCAAGAGGGCTAACATCAGTGAGGATGACCTCAAGAAGGCTGTCCTCATCAGACAGCACCAGTGGTGAGATATGCTCGAGGTTGAGGATCCCAGGTAGGCAGCAGGGTCATAGGTGGAGGTGGAAGGTATAGGAGAAGCATGTGAAATGGGAATTGTGGGGGAAAGCTATAGGAATTGCAGCAAGGTGGTCTGTTTTGCTTTCTGCTGCTTTTGGGCATAAACCTCCTTGTTGGCTGCAAGAAGATTTTCTAAACCATGCTTAAACTGCAGGCTTCTGTCCAAACTAATGTCCTTGTCTATTGCTTCCTGTGCACATATTAAGTCTAGCTCATTAGGTCTGGGGCTTATCAAGTCTAAGGATCCTTCAATACTGGGAATAGTAAAACTGGTAATTTATCAGGATTTGGGGTTAATAAAACCGAGGCAAATTAAGATTGGAACCTATGAGAACTAAGGAACAGTACCATAGAACGGGGAACAACGGTTGTACAGGTACTTTATCACACTTAGTTGTCAACAATTGTACACTTCTCACAGATATATGTAGAGATGAATGTAGGGAAATTACAGATTAATAATTTCTCTCTATTAATGTTATTTTCTTTTAATTCCATACAGGTAAAATCTTTGCTTCAAATTATACAGTATTTCCTATCTAGCTACTGTAGCTATGAAAATTATATAAAACAACTTCAGCAATTGAATTAATTCCGTGGAAAACACAGTTTTAATGAAGAAAACATCCAGGGAAAACACATCCATCTTAAAAATTTTGAGTTTCTTTATTGCTAACATTGTGAAAAATATTTGTTTATAGCATCAGAACACAAAAAGATAAAAAATTTCCAAAGTTTCAAATGTAACTTCCACAGTTTTAATATTCAACTTATGCTGATGACCAAAACAAATGTTTCCAGGAACATCAACAATACAAAAACTTACTTGTTATGATGTTTGGGATCTTCCTGGTGGCAGTGTTCATTATATAAAATATTGATGCACAGTGTGCACCAGCACTCTCAGTCCTACTGCAACACTTGTTACCAAGTCATATCTCCTCACAGCAGCCCTACATTACATCATTCAGGCTTCAGCTAGAGTACAGAGACTTAAATTAACAATCAATACACAATTGTGAAGCTAACAACCAATGTATACAATGTATAAATTCTGTAAGTGCAGTACTAAAATACAAGTACAAAAAACTTCTAAATATTTTGGTGAGATCTATGTAAGTCTGTCAATACAATGAGAAACAATTGTGTATACATCACAAATCAGCTTATTCAAGGAATTTCAAAATGAAGATAAACTATTAATTGTAAATTGTATCAACAAAAGGCTATTGTAAAACATTATTTATTTTAATTTTGAATTTTAAACTTTTACAGATGATAAACCCTTTAGTTTTTTACATCCCATCACCTTACAGTGCCATGAGAAGAAATCTGATACCATATTGCTAAAGAGATCTCTAGGACAAGATGGTTAACATGCAAGATGTTCCTGTGCTGAGATATGAAAGTACTGTATGAGTGTTGTCACAGCAAGGATGTGTGTTGTCACAGCAAGGATGAGTATACTCACAGGAAGGATGAGTGTTGTCACAGTAAGGATGAGTGGTCATAATGTAGTCACAGTAAGGATGAGTGGTCATAATGTAGTCACAACAAGGATAAGTGTTGTCATAGTGTTGTCACAGCAAGGATGTGTGTAGTCACAGTAAGGGTGAGTGTTGTCACAGCAAAGACTCGACAAGACAGCTGTGATTGCATGCATATGTTTATCTATTTAAGGCTAAAGATTTAAGCTTACTATTATCTAAGCTAACTAACCTAAACAAAAAAGTATGATGTACAGGTAGATGCCATCACCTGACTGATGACGACAACTCCTCATTCTCTTTGAAAAGAGATATGACAACAAGTTAAGAATTGGAGAAGCTCAGCAAAAACAGATAAAGAGAAGAAACGTGGAAGAAACTAGAAACAAGATATAACAGGATAGTTCAGGATAATGTTCAGTGTCAACAAGCACACATTGCTGAGGATGACTAGCTAAATGGACTCATCCTGAAAGGTCCCAGTCTTTTCACTTTTATCCTCGTCGCAACTGATCAGCTCGTCAGCCGCTTGGGCAGATATAAAAAGGTGAATATCAGGAAAATAAAAAAGAATAAAGATTAAATAACTTGCCAATTATGACTCCAAGAGTGAGTAAATAAGCTGATGAAGACTTAAACAGATCCTATGACTAAACCCTCATTATACTGATCAATAATAACATAATTATAAACAATCTTGATATATACCTTCGTGTGTGGCCAAGGTTCATTGGTTAGTTGAATCTGATCTTGAATATAAGCCTATTAATAGCCAGAGATATTACCTACAATAACAACAATTAAATGATGAAAGAAAACAGTAATGCAATACATCATACTCAACCCTTAATTAGCTGCTATGGATTACCCACCCCCCAATATGTGCAAAATTGAAACGTAAGAAACATGAAACTTCCACAGATGATGGCCAACATCCCTACAGCTAACTTCCACCAATGATGGCTGGCGTTAAGGGTTAACTATGTACTAAACAGCCTAAAAGCAAAGCAACACAAGTGTTTTGCTGTAGAAAGTAATATACAATATAAAATAAATGTGCTTGTAAAAATATAAAACTGAAACATACTAAAAACAAACATTTGAGAAAGAGCACCAGGAGAAGACACAAACAGTCATCCAATGAAGTCAACTGAACTGTATGTAAAAAAAAACTAACGTGACAACAACGACAATCACATCAACACTCAAGTGAAGACATGATCTCTCTTCTTCTCTGAAAACAGAGGAGCTACAAAGGGTGAAGAGAAAAATATGAACTTACTGAATATACCACATTACATATTATTATAAAACAAGAAGTGAATTTGTGTAGACATTTACAGTATTTATACACAAACAAAATACAGTAAATCACCTTCAGAAAATCCAAATATCAAATTACTGTACAGGTGCTCCTCTACTTACGAACGCGTTACGTTCCTGAGGTTTGTTTTTAAGTCCAATTGCTTGTAAGTCCAAATTTACTCTTGTAGATACCAAACATATTGTAAAAAATGAAAAGATTATGGACATTTAGTACAGCTATATCCTTTAATACAGCCTTAAAACCTGGCTCACTCTTTTCTCTTAGGTAATGTTTGTTCTATCTGAAATTTTCTTCAAAATAAACCAGTCTCATCCACATTAAACACCTGTTCTGGCAGGTAACCCCCTCAGTGATGATGTTTGTATCTCTGAAAGTTTGTAAGTTAAACATTCTTAAGTAGAGGAGCACCTGTACATCTAAAAGTGCTACATGGCTCAGTCAACTACTGCCAACAAAAGTGACACAGGTTTAATCCTGTGGCCAGGGATGATGAGACATTATTCTGTTGATCAGCAGCATATCAGTAGTACTTTGGGGTATGTTAACTCTTCTTGCCTGGAAGCTGTCTCCCTTACATGTTGTGAGGAACTACATAAAAGATGCCTTTTATTTAAATGCAAACAGTCAGAGAGAAATTGTTCCATCTTAAACATACCACAATTTATACACATAGTAAAATATTAAAAACTGAAATAAGGAAAGATTTGGAATTCATCCTACAGACACCAACACTCCGGTATCAAACAGAAATAATATAATCACAAGAAAAAGATAAATTGTTATATCAATTGCAAGTAAATAATATTATTGCAACCTGAGTGAAATAATTTGGGCTTGTGTACAATGAAAGACAAAAATCGTGTCGTGAAATTTGGTGAAAACATATGCCGAAGGGCTAACTTTTGGTGCGCTCTGCCTTGTGGTAGGGGGCTCTCATAATGTTTCACGAGTTATATTTAATCTTCGGACAAAACCGCGACACAACTTTTGTCTTTGATTGTACAGTTAGTGCACAAAACACAAAAATTATTACAACATACCTATTCCCAGATATACTTGGGTGTCAACACCTGTGACACTATGATGAACACTATGTAACACACTATGATGGGCAATGGACACTACAGTATGTAGCACACTATGATGGACACTATGTAACACACTATGATGGACACTACAGTATGTAACACACAATGATGGACACTACAGTATGTAACACACTATGATGAACACTACAGTGTGTAACACACTATGATGGACACTATGTAACACACTATGATGGACACTACAGTATGTAACACACAATGATGGACACTACAGTATGTAACACACTATGATGGACACTATGTAAAACACTATGATGGACAATATGTAACACACTATGATGGACACTATGTAACACACTATGATGGACACTACAGTATGTAACACACTATGATGGACACTACAGTATGTAACACACTATGATGGACAATATGTAACACACTATGATGGACACTACAATATATAACACACTATGATGGACAATATGTAACACACTATGATGGACACTACAATATATAACACACTATGATGGACACTACACTATATAACACACTATAATGGACACTACAGTATGTAACACACTATGATGGAGACTAACATAATGAAGGGGAATATTAGCAAAACTTAATGGTATAATTATGAAAGCAGGAGTGATGTAACGCTGAATGGTTGAAGGTCAAATCGGCCCAAGTCCTAATAGGCCTTAACACAGCCTAACCTGATAGGATTTGGGTCAATTAGAGAATTAAGGCCTATAGGACTGGACCACAAGCTACAATAATGTTATGTTGGGGTATATTAGCACTGGGCCGTAACCTTTATAGCTGACCCTAATCGGCAGCTAAGGATTCCCTACTCCGGCCCTATATGTACAAAAAAGGAACTCAAGGAACACAAAACGTTCACCAATGATGGTCGCCGTCCTTACAGCTAACTTCCACTGATAATGCCATTTAAGGGTTATGTCAGGATGAGGCCTATTTGATCACTCAACTAACTAGACAGAGATAAAGCACAAGGAATCAATGAACACACACTTGGAAGAACACATTACACATCAACATATAACACCATAAGACAGGAACTTAATATTGCACATATTAACAAGGTATTTCCTTATTAATACTGTCTTGTAGAGAATAATAAGAAAGAATAAACCCAAGAAGTTTTGTTCCTGAATAATAATACAATCAAAAGATACTAGAATAATTCTTCAACACTTCACAAAGCCTTTATATTTGTACAGCATTTTGTATACATAAGAACTATCATCTTGGGCATACACAAAACATATGCAGAGTAACTAAATAACAATGACTTTTAAGAGGAAAAATGGCAGATGAATAAAAAAAAAGAACATCAGTGGTGGAAACACTGCAAAATTATTGTTTTCCACTTTGGCTGATAAGGTCTTAACAATATCCTAAAGTGGTTGTTATGAACTTGTATGCAGTTTATGTTACTCATGAATAAATATTTTTATCAACAAAACAACACTTTTCATTCACCTCTTCCTCGCCACCTGGTCTACAACATGTACATATGACAGCACCAGTACAGTACAGTACTGGAGCTATCAGAACCTGTGGGGAGGAAGGGGTTAATAGTTTACTCAACCCTGTTAGTATAAAGTGCATCTATATTCTCTTATTAGCACTTACAAAGCACTTGAGTAAAAATTCACTACCTTATAAAAAACAATGACAACCTGAGTTGCAAGCACAACCTACTGTTTTAATGCATCTTATCCGAGAAGCATTTACAATTTACCGACTACAAGAGTTTTTGTGCTAGTGTACAAGCAAAAGCAGTTAGTTCTAATGAGTGTATTTAACAAATACTCTAATATTACCCTCAGTTTGCACCTGGTCAGTTGCTGGTCAAATAAGCCGAAGTATCAATAAACACTCAACCTAAATTAACCTAACTTCACCATTGGTATTTGGGGTCATTTGGACTATGCCCCTATCCCAATAGTTATGTTTAGTTAAGTTAGGGCCGGTTGGGGAGAGGGTCAATTCATACCAATCCTAATACAGTAGTTATGTTTAAGTAGGTTAGGGCCTATTAGGACTGGAGACAATTCGACCAGTGACCTACTTGTTCCACCCTGTCACGAGAATGGACGAGTTGAAGTAGAGATGATAAGAACCTTCACGGGTAAGCTCACACAACACTGAGGCAACTGGCAGGAGTAAAGGAAGTCTGGCATATACACACAATATATAATGAGTCCTTTGGTTAAAATGACTTTTGTAACTTTATAAGAACAAATGTAAATTATCTCCCACATATAGAAAGGATTTATCAGGTATTCATATGTAAAACAAATGCACATTAACAACAAAGAATTTACTGATGACACAACATAACACAATCAAACCTTAAATGCAGCGACTCTGACTGGATATTCATTATCAAGCATTATGAAATTTACATTGTTTATGTAGTAACAAGTTAGGTATGGTTAGTTTAGGACACAAAGTGATATGTGTATTTAGTCTGGCCAAGAAACATACTGTACAATAATTTATTATTATAGTTTTTATTTATCATTTCACCACTTATCAGCAATTAGCTGTTTGGGCGTTTGTTCAATTCTTTGTTACTTTGTTATAACCTTTATTGTTCAGTGTTAGTCCAAGATGAAACTGGAGTACCCAGAGAAAACCTACCATGCTTGGTAGGGTCACACTGGATAACACCCTTCTCACATCTGTCCTGGACTGCAGACTGAACACAGCGATACATGCATCCCCACTATCACCTACACCACAAATTACAATATCCAGTTTGAGACACTTCACCCATGGTACTGCTCCACACTTAACATATTACTGAACAATTATAAGAATCAAAATATCTGAATAAATATTAACTACAAAATACAATGATAAATGAAGATCACTCTATTACAGCAATACTACAGGTACAGAATAAGTACTACGCTGTCCAATAATATTATACTACATAAAACAATAAACTAATAAGCAACACTCTGGTAAACAACTTTTAAAAAACACTTTTAATATTATAAAAGTCCTGTGGGTCAAAAATGGAGTTCCCATTCTAACTTTATAATTAAAATTTAAGTACAGTAGTTTAAATGTGGATAATGTGCAGTGCTTACTGTGCTTCCCATTTTGCTGAACAGAAGAAAATTACTTCTTCACTTCATGGTCTTCAAACAGCAATTACTTACACTTAACCAACACAGTTGATCTTAAAGTTTCTTATTTACATTAAGTATTTATTATCTTTGTTTCTTATAAATACACACTATAGAACTGTACTTCATTACACTAGCATTAAGTTTTATTATTGTTAAAAAGTCACGTTATATCACATGCTGCTTAACTCTACACGTATCTAACACTGTCACTGGTGCTTCCACTAATCTTATATAACCTGAATTTAATTTTAAGCATGATATATTTATCTCGTTGTACACCGTATAATAGTGACCTACTTATAATACCTAAGTCTTTATGCATTCATTTAATACAAACAATTCAAACTACAGTACACTATGACATGGCTTGACACTATGAGTTGTGCCTTGTTTTTTTTGTCAACAGTTATGTCAGTCACTCCATCAATGTCTACTACAATATTGTACCAAAATGTCTTCACTTGTTGAACTTGTCAGAAGTACTATAAATATTCTTCCTTTATGGCTGGCCTAACAGTTTTCATTATGCTGTCAACACCAGGCACTTTGTTTCTGATCATAATATCTACTGATTGGCACTAACAATATACAAGGTGTCTCAGACAAATAAATACAGACTGCCTTACAGATTTTGGTAGAGATCACATGGATATTTGTATTTCAACAATACCATTGTCCTCACCTGTGGTAAGGTTCACACATCAGCAAGTAAGGACAATGTTGTGATACAAGCAGTCACCCAATCGCCAAAAGCTCTGTAAAGCAGCATGTATGCATTTTTTTGAGAAACCTCATATAATATTAATACTGTATATCATCTATTAAAGGTTGATATGGCATTCATTCACTCCCATGTGACCATCTTGTAGTTAAGTACGGCACTATAAAAATATTTGGCATGACAGTACTAAGGGAAGAGCTGGACAATGCTCATCCACGTAACCATTAAGACCAAGAGCAATAAAATAACTGCTGTGATAATCCAATGTTTAAACAATACTTCTTGCTGGTACTTAACAAACTTCTTTAACAGTAAATATTGTTTCAATTTTACAGCTACAATTGAAAATACCATTATAATAAAAATAGTACTACAGTCTTGATACATTTCAACATAAAAGAGGCAGGCAAAATAAAATCTTATTACCGGTGCACAAAACAAATTTGTGACGAGAAAATTAAAATGTCAATAGAGTATTAATACTGTATATGGCAAAAGTAAATGCTTCCAATCTCAAAATAAAATAACTCAAATACTGAACACATATTTGACAAGAGTCACAGAGAATGAATGACAACAAGTGATGGGAGAAAATGTGTCGTTGTTGATGACTGAGCTGTGCTGTAGTAGTTAAGGGCTTACAAGTGTGAAAAATAAAGGATGTCTCAAAAAACTTAAAAAAACTATGCACACTGCCTTACAAATTTTTGTGGTGATTGCATGAATATTTGTATTGCAACAGTAACATTGTCTCCATACATTCATGTGTGAGGTCTCCCAGAGCATTCTGGGTGACCTCACACATCAACAAGTGGGGAAAACATCGCTGTTGTAATGAAAACATTCACGCTCCCACCACAAAAATTTTTAAGGCATTTATTTTTTGGAGGACACTTTATATACTAGTTAATAAAGTATTATAATGTCAGTACACTGTACAGTACAGTACTAAATTCTACCTAAAGCTGTATACAGTATTCATAATCAATGAGGTAAAAAAATTTCATTGAGTCCAGTATGTAATCTTAACCCTCAACCAGCAATTAAGGATTCCCTACTCCAATCCCATAATTTAGGATACACTGATACACATTCTTGGTCTGTTCACGGAGTTAATTATGTCTTCAAGTGCAGAGAAAACATTTGTTTCAGTTTACGCTCAGTTCCGTCATTATGCGAGACTCAACAATAAAAAAATTCACTCCTTCACTGCTACCTATAAAAAAAAACTTTGACTGCACACAAATCCGTTTTACCTTTTCAGATATAATCATATCACATTTAACTCTTGAAAACTTTTCCCCAACACACTGCAAAGTGGCCACAACAAGACCAACCAACTATCCCTTATTGTCATTAATTCTCTCTAACTGCCTGAGATGATATGTTCTGTTATGATGTTCTACTGTACAAGGGTTCAAGACACCTATTACTTTACGAGAATGAAGGAGGCATAACTGAAACTCTGTACTGTACAAAATACAAACAAGATGGGAGGTAGAAAATCTTTGGTGGAATACTGAAGAGACAGATTAATGCCAGTAAAAACATGGAGAAGGTGACCATGAAGCAAGGTGTATGGAAGACCAAGGCACCAAGTATGAAGAATATAACACAAGCTACTAAAACTATGTGAATTTTGGCACAATGCTGAGACTTAGAAATTCACAATAATGACTTGATGACAGAGGACAGTACTCTGTAATAGGCTCTATATCAATAGTCCATAGAAAAGCACATCCAAAACTGGGAATAGCTCAAGTTCTATTTTACAATGAAAAAACTAGTTAAAAGATAATGCAATTTCACTGATATGTAAGGATTATTTTGTGGGCCAGGAGGGTACAGGTATATGGGAAGAAGTTTAGGTCCAATGAGCTCTAGAACTAATAGACCCCAACCTAACTGAACTAAATCTGAGGTAAACCATTAGGACTGAGATCCTATCTTAATGGTTAAGTTGGGTTAGGTTGAGTCTATAAGAACTGGGGTCTATTTGACCAGTCATCTATAACGAGGCAGTGATATAGTTTCAGATAAACATTTACACACTGGGGCCGAGATTACAACCAACACAATGGGATCATCACCAGATGAAGGATAAACTTTTTTCATGAGGGAAAGTGTACACTGCCACCTTGAGCACCATACTCACCCCCCTCCTCACACTACAGTACACCAAAAATGTTTATGAATCATCATTACTAGTCTCCCACTTCTCTCTGGGATTTGTCAAGTTGTAGAAATATCAAAGAAAAGAACAAAAATATAAAGGAGAAAGTTGTAAACAAATGTAGGAAGCAACAGGAAAAAGGTTAAAAAACATTATCTGAAAGTGTAAATTCTTTCCAAGTGGTACATTTAAGGTACACAGCAGTACAATTATAAACAACCACAAGAGTTGACATTTGCCATAATATTTCTATGGAAGCAATTACTTCTCCACTTGTCTCGGGTCTACATTGTTTACCACATTACCCTTATATTTTTGTGTAGTTTTTTATTGCTCAGTGCTTTTTGTAGTTAAAAAAGTCTTAACAATTCGTAATTATATAATTCAGCTTTGAAGTATTAAAACAAAGGAATATCTTTCCTTAAGTAACTTTTGCAATGTAAAATAAATGAAACACTTGAGAATGATACATAAAATTAATCATAAGGACAGGAAAACATGGCACTTAAGCCTCAGTCATTCAGATTCACACTGTGACCAAGAACACACAAATATTTCCAATTTAAAATTTAAAATAAAAATTGAACTCATTACATATTATAAATATTATTACACAGTAGTTTCAGGATCATCTGGTAAATTTCTATTTGGCAATTTTTTGGCAAGGAACCTTGGACCAGTCAGTTTGATTGCTGCAGCTCCAAGGGGCGCAGTGACCAGGATGACCATCACAGCTATAGTAACAATCTGTACAGTAAAGAAAAATAGTTTATAATGACGTAGTGAAGTATATACAGTATATACAATCACCTTATTCTAGTATACAGAACAGCAAGACCTACAATTTTCCCATCCAGTTTAAATGCCTCTCACACTACCCAGTTCCACACTCTACAGTACTGATACCTGCTTCCCCGCTTCCTGTGTATTGATGCACAAGAGTTGGCATTAAAACTACATTCTAAACATGTCCATTTATGGGAATCTAACTTCATAGTTGGAGAAGTGAAGGCTGTTGAGTGCAGTACCAGCCACACTACCTTCTAGTGCACCAAGCACTTAATATTACCTGTATTGTATCTGTACTGTCCATAATGAGACATCAGGTGGTAGAGAAACAGAACAAGTAGTGTACACTTTTCCAATTTGATTGTCTATCAAAATTTATGCTGTGTTTTCAATCCTTATAACAAATGAATATTTGAGATCTCAAGTGAAATAATTGTTTTCTATTCTATCGTGTTATACCTGACAATAAAAAATTTCAATTTATTTCTAGTTAAGATTTGTAAGTGTCTTCTACAGTGTCCACTACGCTCACTTATCCAAAATTTTCTTGGACCCAATTAGCGTGGATGTTGCAGAAACTACTATACGTATTTGGTAGGGCATTTTCCTATACCAATGACACATGAGGACAAATGACATTACAGTATACAGTATGTATCAACTTGAAAGAAATTTGGTTTTGATTGAAGCAATGCTTGCATATAATTGTAACTCTCAAAATGGTTAAGCAAGTAAAAGCACATTATTGAAGCATTATTACTGTGCATCCCACTATGTAAAGCCAACCCTTTTGAGTTTCAAATATAAAACCAATCAGTTAGAAGCCCAACATAAAAGAAGTTTAGAAAAATTACAACCAGAAGACACACACAGTAAATGTGTGAGTTCATAGTCTAAAGTAAACTGCACAAAACTTGATAAAAAAAGAAAGGAAACAGTGATTGAAATCCATTTTTATGTCACACAAGAAACAAGTTTAATAGCTCATGTGTAGGATGGTATCACCAGTTATGAGCCAAGGAACACATGGGTCCTTTGATAGGTTCACTTATCTAAACAAGTGACTACACAACAGCCCCTACTTGTATAAACCCAATCATCGTTCCACCAGATAATATGAATCAAATTAAACTACAGTATGTATGTTATTTGTTTTGGGTAAACACAGTTAAAAAAGCAACAATATATGTATGCATTTCATTCCTGAATATTTTCCACGATAATATATAAACCGAGTTAGGACAGCTGAGACAATCAAATAAAAGTCAAAACATAATCTTCACTATTTACCTGCTGCCCCCGGATCAAATCCACCTTTTCACCATCATGTTGTCGGACATAATCCAGAGCCTGGGATCCAATGGCAGCCTGAAAATATTAAAAGGTAGAGGATCATATTTCAATTTCTCAATACAATAATATGAAATAAGAAGACTGTACACAGTCAACACTATTAGGTGTTCTTGACCTAAATTTTTATGCTATAATCCAAGGTGGCCTGAAGCAAGAGCACACACAGGTCTCTCCCTTCAATGATTGTTATTGCTGTTTACCTGTGTTGATTCTTACAACACCCAATTACCACATACCACATGCTTGCACCTGTAAACTGCATTGTATATACGTACAAACAGAGCCAGCCCTAGGGGTGTGCTGAGCTACACACAAAGCAGCCATGGAGGACCCTCTTAGAAATTTTATATTTATACCCTGTAAATAACTGTGACAAAACTCACCTTTTTAAAAACATATTCCCGGAACCTGAGCTTGAAAGTCTGTTTCAAACTGGTTCGATAATGAGGTCACTTGCAGTCAAAGTCAGGTCATTACTTTGTGTTGCTAGATGTTGACCATGGCCCATGTGGCCAACTGACCATACCCTAATGCCTGCCCTGCATACCAGTATGTGTGGATTGATCGATTTCACCAAAATATCTTTAAAACTCAAGAGTAAAATTCACTGTAACTTTAGATGTTCCTTTACCAAAAGGCAGGGACACAGTACAGGTAATCAGATCTACTAAGACTATATGAGAGTACAGTACTTCTAGTTAACACAATCTCACTCACAAGGTGTCATATATTATAGGGATGAATCACAAACATGGGTCATTAACAGTTGGATTGTGGACCAAATTAAGTAGAAAAAACTTGAGTGTCAATAAGACCAAAGAATGAGTAAATGGAATACCTTTTCAATGAAGTTTGTTTTGCCTGAAGTAATGTGTACAATCTCCAAGGTTTCAAAGATGTTTCCTATTCAGTACTAACATCTGTCAGGTCATATATTCTTATCCACATTTACTGTTTTTATATTATTCTTACCTGAACAGTAGCCTTTGGAAGCCAAGCAATGGCAATGAACAAACGCTCCCACACAGTGAAGGCGGTACCCATCACCACAACGAAGGAAGTGGCCACTCTCAGGGACAGACAAATTGCCAATGTCAACAACCCCCAGCCAACAGTGCCTGGATCAATGACTGCAACCTGGTGATTTTTTTTTATCAAATAAATATTCACTAATATTAATTAAGGCTCTTTAACTTTAAATCTCCCAACATGTACAGGATTAAATACTGTAAATTCATAAAGAGAGGAATGGTAGGAATAAATCTTGCACTATCATACATGAAGTTAATCAGTTAGTGATCAAAATTATAACTAGGAAGACCATATAGGCTTTTGTACTTGAATATATAATGTCTAAATTTATATCTAAATGATATAATCTAAACACTACTGAGTTTATCTGAAAAAATATACAGAATACTCTAAGTTGTCTTACATCAATTTCGGCTCCAATCAGGACAAAGAGCATCGGCTGGAAGATCTCCCACAGAGTGCGATAGTAAACACTTACATCAGCGTCCTGAGTACGAAAAACACATCTCCATCACTCAAGGGTCAATAGTTTTTTGTTTATGATGGTACATTGGGACATAGTTACTTGATGATCACATAGGTAAAGGGACTACAAACAAAATGATGCAGCTTACCTCATTCCCCGGTTTACGCCAGCCTAACCCAGCCACAAACGCAAGAGTCAGCACTGCAATGGGGCCAGAACTTTCCAAACCAACCTGAAACAATGAAGCTTCTTATTATGATGAAACATATAATCCTGCCATCAAACAAACACCTCAAAGTTAACTCTTAGTACTCTATAAAACCTTGTTGCTGTGAGATATTTGCTGCAGATATGTACATGAAATATTGTACTACTATAAGATTAGTTCTGCTACAATTTCCACATTGATGTAAAAGCAAGTCACTAAAACCAGAAAGCATTTTTTTAATATTCGATGTTAGAAATCAAACAGTAAGAGTGATCATCTCTCACACTCCATGTGCTGATAAAATACCACAATTATATCAAACATGTGTAAATAAGTAAAGCAGGTGTGGGGGGAAAAATGGTTTAGTTCAACAAAAAACAAAGTTAAGGAAAACAATGGGGGGGGGTATGAACCAAGCCTAGAAAGTCACCCTTTTAGGGCATTTAGGAATATGTGGTCCCATGTATACTGGCTGTGAGTCAGAGCTTGAGTGTACATAGGCCTATTTACATAACTAACTACACAATTTTCAGGTATACAGATGTTGTTTGTGATTCAGGTCATCTTCCATTGGCCATAAAGAATACCTCAAAAAAAATGTTGGATGGACAAGAAGAAACAAAGAACAGACTAACTGCCTGAACAGCAGTAAGCTGATAAGTCTCAAAATGATAAATAAACAACAATACCTTATGGCTGCCAAACATGCCTAAAGCACCCAGGCCAAAGATGATGATAAACTTGTAAGTGGCTCGCCTCTCCTTCTCTTTATATGGCAAGAACCAACACAACAACCCGAAGCCAATACCATACATGATGCCGGCTAATATCTCAACAGGACCTTTAAGTATGGTCCAGAACAGTGAGCCTGGAAGAAAATAGAAATATTATTGTCACCAGTCAAAATAAATTATATTAAGTTTCATTATAATCACAAGATAGTAAGAATAAAAGTTATATTAAGAAGAAGAATTTTACCTCTGACAGACACTGTAACGGACTGTAATACTGTACTGATGTGACAAATAGTTACACTGTAATCGAGAAATTTTATGGTAACTCACAGCCATAATTATGTAACAGCACCAAAAAAAATACAAACAAAACTTTCTGAGGTTATCACAATACCCTATTGGCTTTAGAAACTGACCTTCAGCAAATGTTATTCCCAACATAACACTGAAGCCAGTAATAGCAATGACATCATCAATGCTCGCTGCTGCAATTACCAGGGTTGGAATTCCTTTGTCCACACCATAACCCTCTTCGCCTAACTTCAGTAAACATGGAACGACTACTGCCGGTGATACTGCTGCAACAATAAACCTGAAATACATGGAAGGTTATACATTTATTTAAAACACTGAAATTGGAAAAGCTGCTGTCATTGGTGGAATAAGAAAAAGTGAACACAAAATTTAGGTACAGTACATTGATATAGCACCAGGTGATTACAACAACTTTGGAAAACTTGAAGGAAAGGATGCAAAAGGCTGTTAGAAAAGTTCAGGATGGAATGCTACAAAATGTACAGAGGGAAACAATACCACTCATGTGTATGAAGAGCCACAGGAAGAGACCATACTGAACTTCCATAGCTTGAAAATTAAGCTTTTTCAGTTTTTCATTATCAGTATACTGTACCTAGCTTTTCACTGTACAGTAGTTTTGTTACTTTTTTCATTATACAGGAAATATCTAAAATCGGGAGGATCATTTGCAATTACCCTGTACTCTACAGTATACTGTAACATGAGTGGGAGGCAAAACTTACCCGAGCATAAAACTCCAGCTCCAGGGGAGACCGAGGAAGAACTTGGAGACGACGCCTGTACATACTGCTTCTATTGAACATGGAAGGAAAGCTAAACGCAGTACAGTACAACTTAACTTCTTTAAGGCCACAGGATCTAACCCCAGTCCAGCACGTATTAAAATAATTATGAGGGCAATGTTCCTGCAAGAAGAGAGAGCAGCAAGTTAATACATATACAAGGACATAACTATCTATGTGACAACTCTACAATTACAGTATATGCCTTTTATCCTTTGTACATTTATATGGTACGTATACACAAAAGAAAAAATCTTACCTTAAAGAAGATGACCAGTATGCATCAATATTGTGCCCAACAGCATTTATTCCTGGTATACTGCTGAAGAGTATACCCACCACCAGGCTACCCAGCAGTGGTGGCAAGCCTACAAAACTGGCTGCTTTACCAGCAAGCATTGCCATCACATACAGTACCAGGAGGCTGAAGAAGTTACCACCAGGGAGAGCCATGTCACCAGTAATGGAGATCAGACAACCCCACAATGCCAGGCCTGCCACCAACCATATGAGACAGTCTCCCACCTGGTGACATGTACATTATATATTTAACTTATTATGCTCTTATAATACTTTTTACCAGGCCTGGAATATCAAGAAAGGGTAATAACTCAATGGCCATATGGGTTTATATGTTAAACACGTAACAGCCCTGAGACTACCTGCCAAAACCAATCTAAAATTGGTAAAATGTCCCCAAAATGTTAACCAAGTCACAACAGTTATCAAGATCAAACAATTCAAATACTTGCAAAAAAAAAAAAAAAAACTATCTTACTCTGCCATGGGGTGGGCAAGTGAAGGAGTACTTGACAAGCTCGCCCACTGTGGGATGCTCTGGTAGTTTATGATGACTCCTTAAAAAATTCTTGCAACAATTACACGATGAGATCAACTTGTGAGAATACTTTGTACGGGAGTCCTCACTGTCTGAGAGCTTCTTCTCACCTGATTCTCTGTCCCAGCCTTGTGAGTTCTCTTCTATTATTGTTGACCCTGTTAAATAATATAGTATAATCACCACATTAATCAGGAACCCCAGTACTACTCAATATATTAATAGTTTATTCAGTCTTGTGATCCCTTTCTTGGGTGCAGGAATGACAGAATCACCAGAGAAATACAGACACTTCCATACATACTCAAACATCATGTCTGTCTTCTTCAGTCTTCCCTCCTTTTTAACATAATGTGTATGTTCTTAATACATGTACATGGCATAAGTCACCCAAGATAATCCAACAATTGTGTCTGTTTCCTAAATTTTAGTGTTGAATTAAATCATTGAATTTATTGATCCATTAATTACATATATTATTTGGTGACAATCTGTCGAAGGTGTTCAAGTGTCAGTCAATAGTTATACAGCACTTGTGTCTGACTCTGCTAACACAGTATCAAGAGTCTTCCATAAAATTGATAATTACGTGAAGTGGATACTGTACTACCATGAACACGTGTCCAAGGAAAGCATTTCATAAATTATATTATGTGTCAGTTTATTAATTTCTGAAAATACCTGTAGTGTACACTAACTTACATCATTATTCTCCAAGACTCAAAGTTATTAAATCTACAAACAAGCTTTCAATGCATCATCTTTCTTCTACAATCACCATATAACTTACAGTCCCCCTCAAACTCACATGAGGACAATTAGACTCATCATTCACACCACCACAAACGCTGTCATTGAGCCATTTGCCCGATTATTACTCATTCTTTATTTTCCCTCATTTAAATAAAAGAAAATTATTCCATGTTCTTAAATTTCCTATTCAGAATGTTCAAATCTTCCAGAAAATATATTATTTCACAAGGTAGATTATTAGATGACAGGTACTCTACTGTACTGCATTGCTTTAAAACTCATATTTTTTTTTTTACTCTCAAGCTCTTTCCCCAAACACTGACTCTTATACTGTACTTCCTTTGTTGCCATTTATTCATTTATTTATTTAGTCATTACAGTATTGGGGTATTATTCATAACATGCTTACTCACATATTTAAAATACAATAGCACATAATATTTTTCTCTCATCAATGAACTCGATTTAAAAGTCAAATATATCATTAGCTGTGTTATAATCCTAGGACCATACATGGTTGTTGGTCAGGTGAGGTACTGACCTAAGAAACCCAAACCTGACCATTCAAACTGGGTACACCTGACCCGACACTAAAGTAAATTATCTCTTCATCTCCTTGACACCTCTCAGACAACTTACCAATAGGCAATGTTCCAGCTTCACTGTATGTGCCACGCCGGCTGTCTGTGGCTGAGGAGACGTAGGCATCCATTAGTGATCCATCAGTGCTCGCCCCACGACTGTGACATAAATCCCGACCTGAAAACAAAACATCTATAGTATTAGATTGTTTACGTAATTCTTTGATTTCTGATCACCAATATTTATGGTACTGTACTGTACTGGTAACTGGTTGATATAATCATGCAGTTGTTGATGGTATGGATTCTCCTGATGTAGGGAGTTTATATTTCTGTGTACAGTCTGTATTCATATGAATGGTGAAATACCTATTCTTAATTTGTAAATGGCAGCCATCATCTGTGAAAGTTTCATGCTCCTCAGCTGACATATGGTGTAGGTCTCTTGTTTGATGACCCAAAGGTTACATAATGGCATTTCATGTTTTAATTCTCCATATAATTTTTCCACTCTTACAAAAACCTCTTTCCCAATACAGCATACCACTGGGTAGCTAAAATCTTGAGCAAAACCCATGATCCTTCACCCACATCATCTATTATTTCTTGATGCCTCACCAAATGTGATCTTTTAAAGAGTTCCCTATCCACAATACTAGAACACATTTTGATTAATTCTTATCAGAGTAAAATGATCAAAGAGCAATAGGCTGGATCAGACACACCTTTACTTAGTAGCTAGCGTCAAACCTGCAAACCCTGGCAGGTAATACAAAGAACTGAGACCAGCATAAAAAAGGAGTGTCAAAAATATTTTTATCTAATCTGAGATAACAGTAACTCTTATCACCTCTTCATCTTACCCACAGCTTTGATATGAGAGCTTAGGCCTATGATAAGGTAAACACAAAAACATGTAATCTTAAGCCTATCTAACTTACCAACAACACACAGCCTATCTTTCCAAAAACCATGTAATTTTATCTTCCCAACAAGACAGAACCTTCAGACAACCTACCCGACATACGACCCACGGAAGCTTCACAGGAGGAGACCTGGCTGGCCCCTCGACTGTGGCACATGTGATGTCCCCCGGCAGTGGAGTTACTGATGGTGGCTGAGTCACCATCTCCAACACTATTAACCAGCCCAGGCTTACTATCACACCCTCCACCTGTAGATATGAAACTTAAACAGTATAATGGAAATTACTTACACGTTACTCTATAATCTTTTAATTTGTTACATTTGCTCATCACATTTTTGTACAGTGTGAATTGGGGAGACAAAAACATAGAAACAGTGTAAGTTTATGAGAGTGGTTTAAGATACTGTATGAATAAAAAGCAGCAAGAAAGTGGTAAAACAATAAGTACAGAACATAGAATACTGTATAAATAAGCATCAAGGAAACAGGAACCTGAAGAATCTCTTTAGAAGTTACACCTTAAATGGTAGCCAACATGAATGGGTGTTTCATATTCCTTGTGTTTCAGTTTTTGTACATATGGAGGGAGCTTAGGGAATTCTTACCTGCTATTTAAGGGTTAATAATGTGTTAAAGTTCACTGGAAGATGTATTGAAGTGACACTTATAAAACAATTACAGTATCAGGAGGAAAATGGAAAAACATGGTGCGGTGTTTTCCAAATTTATTTTTACAATTTCCCTCCCTCCCTCCCTATCTATTTTCTTTGCCACTTCTTCCTCACTTCCACTCCCTCCCTCCCTCCACCCATTCTTCTTACCCTTCTCTTCACTCCCCCTCCATCTTTCCTTCCCAACCTCCCTCCATCTATTCTTCTTCCTTTCTCCTCACTTCCCCTCCCTCCCTCCCTTCCTCCATCTATTCTTCTTCCCTTCTCCCTAGCAGCAAGTAGAGTTTTAATAATTAAATTAAACAAAACAGAATAAGAGAGAGTGAACACTAATGTACTTCCTCGGTCAGCTTTGCTCCCTGTTATAAAGAGATTAATGAGAAACTTCCAGCTTTTTGGAAGATCATAGCATATTTTCATCATTCTAATATACAGGTGACCGAGAAAATGTATACAAACTGTCTTACGGATTTTCGTGGAGATTGCATGAACACTTGTACATTAATATACTAACAGCAGCAGTGTCCTCATTTGTGGGAGACCTTGCACATCAACAAGTGAGGACAATGTTGCTGTTGTAATAACGTATAAGCATTCAAGCTGTCTCCAAGAAAATTTGCAAGTCAATGTGCATACATTTTCCTGAAACACCCTGTCGTTTTTCATACATAATAGCAAATTAATTACAATTAAAATCACAGTGAAACCTTCGTCTAGCAGACCAAGACCTAGCGGATATACAGTTGTCCGAGAGCTGGGGTTTCATATCTAACGGACCTCAATCTGACGGTCTTCCCTCTCCACAGTCTGTTACATGGAGCTTTCACTGTATTACATTTCTCCAGCTAATAACTAGTTACAAGGACCCAGGTTCATTAGAGTATCACCAACCTTTTTCTGTAGCTTCATTATGTACATGGTTCTCTTCCACAGCATTATGTGTTAGAGAGGACGAAGGGATGTCAGGCACTCGTGGCTCAGGCATGTGGGACGGTGGGGTGTCAACAGAGGCGGCAACTAGAAGAGGTAAATAGTCATCTATCTATTATCATATCTATCCTCCGTTATATGCGGTGGATCAAAGAGCACACAACCTTCAGTGATACGGGGGAACAAAAGGAACGATTGAGGCAAGATAACTGCACAAAATGATAAGAAAAACTATAAAATTCAAATATGTAACACAAATTATGCAATGGCTAAACAAGTGAAAAGAGATTTGTGGGATATGATTCACAAGATGATGAAAACAAATTGAGAATACTAACACCAACCTTAAAACAAGAAAAAAAATACTGTAAAACATACATAAAAGATCCACTTTGTATACATCTTAATATCCTTCATCCATCCCAGTCTCTCTGTTCCACACCTTCAATTTTAGCCAATAATATCTCTGCCAAAGTGTAAACTGACACACAGATGGACAATACTAATACCTGTATTATACTTTCCATAAGAGGAATATAAAAACATGTATACATTTACTGTTCCACAAGCAATGCCCTGATGCATACATGGAAAACAGTCAGTACCTTACAGTAGAGCTTCCCTATCTTAATTTATCTCAAGTGAGCATCAAGATAACAATATCAATGATCTCAACTTAGAAAGTGAACAAGATTACTAATACTCCCTTTTTGTACACCATACAGTATATACTGTATATATACAGTATATACATATATATATATATATATATATAGCTGCAATAGATATATCCTACACTGTGAGGGTTTTAGCTGGAGAAGTAATAGGGGTTCTGTGATGGAGAGCTCCATGTCTGTACTCCATGAGGTGACAACTGAGAATGACTTCAATTCTATGGGATGGTTTGCACCAAGAGCGTGCTGTTGAATATCATTGTGCAATGGATTGCTTAACGGTATAGCAGAGGGCTTGTTTGTTTTTTAGCACACTTAGTTCTAGTGACTTATATTCATGTTCAACCTCTAATTGATTTTAATTATCTGCAATGTTTGCATGTGTCCTACTCTTAATTTTACTTGCTTTAGAGTGCCAGAAGATGGTTTTACTTTTCATTATACTGTATATATTTCACTTCAAGCAAAAACACCAAGTACCAAAGAAAAGATATTGTATTGGTACCAAATACCACGTATAGGTGCCAAGTACCAGAAACTGGTATTAAGTACTACACCAGGTACAGGTATGAAATACTGCACCAAATATTGATACCAAGTGCCAGGTACTAAACACCAGATACTGTACTGGTATCAAGTTCCAGGTACTGTACTGACACCAAGTATCACATGTACTAAAATTTAAATTAAGTACACTGATATTAATGAAGATAATTATCTCTTTAGAGGGGAGGGGTTTCTGTCAGCTGAATAAAATCGTCTGGCATTAGCCAGAATAAAATACCTAAGGGCTACAATGCCTTCTAAGGGGTTAAAGACTCACTCACCAGAAGTGACTGATGACCGCTCACTGTCGTCCGGAGATTCCATCAGCTGCAGGGCATTGTTGACCTTGGCATGTTGGCTCTCTGTTGTGTCATGGATAAACAGTGGGTCCTGTGAGTCAGAACTCCCCTCCATCTCACCTACAGTATGTTATTGTTGCTCTTTAGTGGGACTTGACTATATCAAATTCATCTGAAAATTCATCAATCATATGTAAGCATAAAACAGTGATACAGTATAATATTATAAGATGCTACAGTATAGTACAGTACAGTACAGCACATTATGGTACTCTGCATATCTTCCCTCACTCTCCCCTTTACTACACACCAAGGAAATAATCAAGTGTGGGGCAACACAGAGCACACACTGCCTGACTAAAACCCAGACTAAGTTATATACTGTACAGTACAACGTGCAGTACAGACTAATGAAAATTGACATACCACCTCAAACAATATAGTACTGTACTGTAGTGGAGTACTGTATATAACTCACTGGTTCATACCTCCTAAAATTAGTTAATAGTCAACGATAAATTTTTTCAATTCACCATATACATGTTTTCCATCCTCCCCTTACAGGTTAAACATGGACCAGAGTCCAAATCAAACATTATTTTAGTGAAAATCTCAAGGAAAATAAACTAATAGCTATAAAGGGTGCACACCTAAGACACCTTTACCATGACCCAACCAAATGTCTCACAACAAAGTAACTGACCGAATAGCTATAAGCTAATTAGTCATGAATTTATAAAGCTTGTACAGTACTTGTAGTTAATGGATAGTGTCACAACATCTGTGTAGTTATCATGAAGTGGTGGCCAAGTGGACACTTCACTCACCTCTTATCTTATACAGTAGGTCACTGATCTGTGTTCGGGATGACACCCAAGTCCACCCAGCTGTGAATGGGCACCTAACTTTAAAACTGGAAAGTATAGATGGCTCAGTAAAATGTCCACCATACTGCCTCAGTGTGCTGTATCCACACTGCCCCCGACAGAACACCAGGCTTATGGTAACCACTTTACTGTTAACATTTATCCATTACATCAGGTTTGATGATGTAAGTTTGGTTGGTTTTAGACAGATAAATAGATATATACATACGAGTACATAAATGCATAGAATATATAAATATTGATAGAGATATTTATCTATTTCGTCTGCCAATAATGTGTCCAGAAACTATAGCTTTGTCCACATATATACAATACTACAAAATCTTTGGTAAATTTTTACTTTAAGACATGAGTCCCTAGGGGTTGACCAATATGTTTTTCCAGTGTATTTTGGTGTTTTAAACGAATCTGACCTTCATTTTTGGCGGAAATTTATAGTGTTTGCCCCCCCCCCAATAATAATGGGGGAGAGCCTGGGAAATCGGGGTTTTTGGTTGGGGGAGAAAACAAAAACGAGTCATCTGACCTAACAAAACCTAACCTAACTCCTAACCGGGGGCTCTGCCCCCAGTAGGCCTAGTCTGACCCCTAGCTGAGGGCTCCGCCCCCGGTAGGCCTAGCTTAAACTAACCTAAATGTTTCAATAGCTAAAAACTCAGGGGAGCGCCATGTCCAAAAGTAAAATAATACCAAATCTCAAATTACGTGACCAGTTTCCGAAATAGCGTCAAGTTGTGAAGATAGGACATGTGTACAGGTGTTGTCTGACACCTACCTCATCTGTCATTAACGAATGTGTGCAAACTACCTCTTCATTACAAATAATTACATTGCACGGAATAATAATGATTCAAATTTAAGCTGTAGCCACATACGTTACATTTATCATATAAGATTTTTTATCACTCCTTATTTTGAGGTTAATGTGCTGATCAACTACAAAATGTAAACAAACTTGATTATTGTTGATTTTATCACGAGGGGATCTTACCTTAATATACACACAGCTCACAGATGACATTCTTACACGTATATATTAATAGTAGTTAAGTAACATGGCTTAGATGAAGATAAATGACTAGATGTGATCGATAAGGTGTGTTGATCACCTTCCCCTCAGCCGCTGGGGTCCTCCTGAACTACGAAAAACAACTAAACCAGGATAGTCTTTATAATATTAATATATTTCCGCTAGGTCAATATTTTACTGTCTATTTTAATGTCTACACTAAAGCTTATATATCTATTATGAAAATATAGATGATTAAATAAGTACTAAAAAAACAATATGAGCTGTTGTCCATAACTGTCTTGAATACCGCTTATACGTCTATAGTTATACAATGAATAATGCAGAACTTTTATATAAAACTTTTAATAATAAACACAGGTAATAAATGGGTTCTAAAAACATTAACCTTAGTGATAATCGCTGCTCAAGAAGGTGGATTAGATTGTTTTTGTGTTTCAGAAGGATGTTTAAAATATACCACGGAATAGGACGAAGAGGTCATTCACATTTCAAGAGGCATGAATCAGTAAAATCAACCATAACTTGTCTTACACTGGGGTAATCAGATTAGGTTAAGCTCGGGTCATCTCGTCGCCTAGAAAATAGCTGGTTAATTCTACAACAGTTACATAACAGTTGAAGTGTTATTAACATTTACCAAATGTGTGGCGGAGGAGGAAATCTAATATGGAGCGGAAGCCTTAGGACACCCCTCGTTCACTAGCTACACAACCTTCCTAAACCTTAACAAAGTTATCCTGTGAATTTATCTTCTTTATATATTTACAGCTGATTACTGATGTTCAAGGCAAATATATTCATGACAGCCTTGAGCGTTTTTCTTAAAATAGAAAAAAATTAAGATGGCCGCTTCTGAATCGTATAAATATACTTAAAGGTTATTACTACAGTATATTACCATGATAATATAAGCAGTAATAGGTAGATGGGGACGTGTTGTAAACGTTATAGACAGAAGGGGGTCGTGTTGTTACAGTTATAGACAGAAGAGGATCGTGTTGTAACAGTTATAGACAGATAGACAGAAGGGGGTCGTGTTGTTACAGTTTTAGACAGAAGAGGATCGTGTTGTAACAGTTATAGACAGAAGGGGATGTGTTGTAACAGTTATAGACACAGTTTTAGACAGAAGAGGATCGTGTTGTTACAGTTTTAGACAGAAGAGGATCGTGTTGTAACAGTTATAGACAGAAGGGGGTCGTTATAGACAGAAGGGGGTCGTGTTGTTACAGTTATAGACAGAAGAGGATCGTGTTGTAACAGTTATAGACAGAAGGGGGTCGTGTTGTTACAGTTATAGACAGAAGAGGATCGTGTTGTTACAGTTTTAGACAGAAGAGGATCGTGTTGTAACAGTTATAGACAGAAGGGGGATGTGTTGTAACAGTTATAGACAGAAGGGGATGACAGAAGGGGGATGTTGTAACAGTTATAGACAGATGAGGGTCGAGTTGTAAAATAAGAGCATAAATCTTAACAACACCAGTGAGCAGTTAAAATAATAAAACGTGGTCTGAGTAACACACCTCACACGGGAAAGTGGGTTAACGTATCAGCATCTTGCAGGAACTAAGTCGAAATACCTGTTTAAAGCGAAATATGTTCACACCTGGACTTGGTTGGTTTAGGAAGTAACATCCTTCTGCACACGACCACGGGGTCACCTGAAGATTAGATGCCCTAGCTTATATCAACCTGAAGATTAGCCGGATCATCTGAAGATTAGACATCTGAGGTTATTTCACAGATTAACCAGATTCCAGTTAGATTAGGCGCCACAGTTTATTTCAAGTGATGATTAAAGTCGACACAGTTCAGCATCCATCCACCCCACCCCGCCGCCCACTGGTGTAAACATTTGAGCAGCGATCACAAACTCCCCAGGCCATTCAAGGTGTCTCGTCGAGTGGGCCCTAGTCCTAACAGCTAATCCTGATCTAACGTTTAGACCTGGGGCCCAGAGCCGGATCCAGGCCGATTCACCAATGTACTTGCATCGCTCAAAAAATTCTCAACCTATGCAAAGGTATCATTATGCATCGGTCCAATAATATTGATCTATCAGTAACGTGATCACATTGTCAGTGTTATGGGTAAAATGCGCCAAAAGTGCTATAGGTGAAAATCTTAGTGTTTTTGTCTGAACTTATCACTAGAAAATAAAGTCGAATTATGTTCTCTACTATAAATTGACCAGGATGAGAGGCCTCGGTCCATACCCGTTGTCCACATATATTAACAACAGGGAACCAGTCTACTACAGCCAGACCCTCGGAAATTTGTGAAAGTTTCAGATGGCGAACAAAGATTAGGCTAGTTTAGCAATTGTATAGGTCATAGAATGGTAAATGCATTTATTTTACATTGAATTTAGTTAAGAATGAGGGTCAAATTCTAGTAAAGGATAGCATTCGATATTTGTTCTAATGATAAGTTCAGACAAAAACACAACGATTTTTATCTATGACTCAGTTACCCAGAGAGTTTAGAACGCCTGCAATTGCCTAGCTTATATTAATGGCAGGTAAGGAGTGACTTCATTGAAGTTTACAAACATTTCAGAGGACACTACTCAGTCGAGTGTCCATACCTGGAGCTGGCGGACCCTCGCCCCACAACGGGTCACAGCTCAAGGTTGAAGAAGCCACAAATCCAGAAAATTGTGAGGGCAAATTTTTTTCCGAGTGAAAATTGTGAACTCGTGGAATAATCTGCCAGTGTTGTGACGGCAGCAAGTGTGAGCTCATTCAAGACCAGACTTGACCAACACTGGAGCAGGTACAAACACATTCAGGAGCCAGTGCATGCCCAGTACTTGCCAACTGTGCCCTCTGTAAGAGACGCGACCGACCGCCCAAGTGGCTAACAAGACGATCAGAAGCGAAAAGGATAAAAAAGATAAAGAATTAAAATACGGCGTTGCGGAATGAGCCTTAAAAATTGTATCGATTCTTTGAAAAAAAAAATGAAAGATTGCATCAATCAAATATGAGGTCTGGGGCCTGCCTTGGGGCCCCAGTCTTAATGGTTATGTTAGGGCCTGTTATGACTGGTCACTGTTTAACATGCAACAGGTGAATCCAGGCCCGTTGGTCAGATGTAATCAGGCGGAGTTAATATAATGTGAGGTTAACATCACACGGTTTACGGTTAGTTTATACACCTTATTCCCCCCACGTTGTAAATACTCGTATATAATCTGAACCTTAGCCTACTCACTCTAGCTACTAAGTACAGTCACTGTATAAAATTAACACATTATATCCACACATGATAACTGTACAGAGCAACACTTCACCCTCCAGCGCAGTGATGATGAAGAGCCCTTGTAACTGGGGATGTAAGACTCCATTTAACTGGTTTAATTAAGTCGAAACATAGAGATAACAACCTTAATTAATATGAAAATCACACTGAGGCAATTCATGAACTAGAGACATCTGCATTTAGTACAAATAAGCAGAAAACAAATTGCCTAACATAATATTTTAATAACAATAATAATAAGTAATAATAATAATAATAATAATAATAATAATAATAATAATAATAATAATAATAATAATAATAATAAATAATTGATATCTTGGCCATTTGATCAAGGATAACCGACAAAGCTATTTAGATTAATTAAACCAATCTTGGGTTGTGAGGAATCTTCACCGTAAAACCTGGCTCTCGGCGTCTGGTTATGAAAGGTTAAACCATGAATGTTTTGTTTTGTCTTCTACTTGAGGACAACAGGGTGCATCTTTACTGATATTTCCATGCAGAATAAAACCACAATCTTGATGTTGTAGATTAAATGGGATAAATAAATGGGTTCCAAATAATTACCAGGTGAAAGAAGAATTGGACGTAGGAAGCATTAGGAACCTTGATTCGAGACACCACGAAAGACAAACTCTGTGTGTGTGTGTGTGTGTGTGTGTGTGTGTGTGTGTGTGTGTGTGTGTCCTCATATAAAATCGGACCTATATATCTCCCTATAGTTAAGGTAATGGAATAACGTCTACCATTTTAACTGGGGTCTCAAGGGCCCTAAATATTCCTGCCCTGATTTCCGTTCAATGATAGGAAGCAGGAAGCAAAGGAGGAACAATAATAAACTGGAAGAAACAAATTGGAAAGTGTATTGTATGAGAATGGTGTCGCAATGAACAAAGT